CTGCTCAATGCTAGAGCTCTACCACTTGAGCCACAGCTCCACTTTTGGCTTTTTTGGTGATTATCTGGAGATAAGAGTCCGAGAATATCTGAGAGATCCTCCTCTCCTTCCCGTAGTTTTTACTTACTTGGTGTGTTTTGAGATTGCAGAGTAGGACGTCTCCAGAGGCTGTAGCCACACATACAGACTCCTGATCCAGCAAGTCCTGAATACCAACAATGCAGCCGCTTCCATCCTCTGGAAGAAAGCCTTCTGCCACCAAAGGAATTTCATTTTTCACCTTTCACCAAAGCAAACACATAAGGAATGGACCTAATTCACTTTCAAGAACAAATGTATTTCCAGAAATGAAATCACTTATAAGACTTCTTTTATAAAATTCAAAATGTGGTTTTTTTTGTTTTGTTTTCTTTTTTTGGGTCCGGTTGTGGGGCCTGAGCTTTGGGCCTGGGCGCTATGCCTCAGTTCTTCAGCTCAAGGCTAGTGCTCTACCACTTGAGCCACAGCACCACTTCCGGCTTTTTTTTCTTTTTGCTTATGTGGTGCTGGGTAATCGAACCCAGGGCCTCATGCATGCAAGGCAAGCACTCTACCACTGAGCCACCTTCCCAGCCCCTCAAAATGTTTTTATCTGAATTAAAATTGAAAGTTTGATTTGAAAAGCAGTACAACTATATCCTTTTAAACAATAAAAATAGATAAGTAAGGTGACCCTTTTGCTAAATAAAGTCAAAACAAGTATGGTCTCTTGACAAAGGTTCAATAATAAAATGGAGCTAATGACTGTGACTTTTATTCTGCTTTGTTTTGCGATGTTATGAATCAAACTCATGTTCTGACACATACTGAATTACAACCGTCCCCATGACAATAGTTTTCTAAGACTTCTTTAATACGAGGAAAGGTAGTAAAATGAAATAACTTAAAATACATTAGCAGTAAATATAACTGAGGGGATAATAACAAAATTGACCCATATAACCTTTAGAAATATATATGGTCAGATCCAGCACTAACGATCATGATTTATTTTCACAAAACTATATGGGAAGGGGCTGAAGGCAGAGCTCAGCAGTAGAACTTTAAGATGCTTAGCACACATGAAGCCCTGGGTTCAAGTACCATAAAATAAAATAAACTCCAATGGCAATTTTTATGTGCTTCTTAGCTGAGAACCACCATTACAAATAGCACTAACATGGAAGAAAGGGTTAACACATAGGGTACTCACACAAAATATAAGGTCAGAGCTTTGTCACCTTAGCTTAAAATAGTAGCAGAGTGTAAAGTATGATACTATATAATCTTTACCTAGTACATCATCATATAAAACAAAGAGATATTCTATTCAGTAAGGCACAACTTCATTAAGTCACAAAAGAAGACAACTTGGGAGAAGGAAGACAATAAGTCAAAGGGCCATATCAAGTTCACACATGTCCATCAGTAACTTACTTCTCTTGTGACAGGATCTACTTCTGTTAGTCCATGTTCTGAGCCAATGATCACAGTTCCCTGCTCGGTTCGAAGAGAGAAGCACTGAGGTTTTCCAGGTGCCTGAATGTCCCTGAACGCCAGGGTCTGAAATAACTTTAGATTCCGCATGATGAAGCAATATCTAAGGGAAAAAAATATAAATCTCCCTTGACAAAACAGTAATGACAAATCAATCTAGAAGAGAAAGAAATAGCTTACTGGAGACATGGCCACACTCATATCAGCTGTAACAACTGAGTGGTAGAGAAGTGAATAGAATAACCAAGGGGGAAAAAGGAACCCTATGATTTGAACACACACCCATGTATAGATGTGTGGCAGCATTGCAACATTTAGCTATAGACTACAAACTATGAGTTTTTCCTTCACAATGACTTAGCATTTGTTATTCCTCAGTAAAGTTGGAAAGAGCACAACAAATGGGAAAACATTTTATTTTCATATTACAATACCTTTAACACAGAAGATTTATAAAAATCATAAGGAAAAGACTAGACAGAATTATATAAAAATCCATGCACTTGCCAGGTATGGTGGTTAACGTCTATAATCAAGCCACTCAGACTCTAATATCAGAGGATATACAATTTGAAGTAAGCCTGGGCCAAAAGTTTGCAAGAACTCATCTCAACTAATAAAAAGTTGGGTGAAGTGGCATGTGCCAGTCACCCTAGCCTTACAAGAAGTATAAATAGCAGGATCAGGGGCTAGAATAGCTCAGGCATAAATAGACACCATACAAGAAAGCATGAAAGCAAAGAGATGGGGGCATGACGAGTTGTAAAGTGCCCATCTAGCAAGCACTCACCAAGTTTCAAGTCTCGTACAACCAAAAAAAAAAAAGAACAAATAAATCTACATATAGTAATTCCATTTCATTCACAGACTATACCAAGTACAGTCTAAACAATTTAAAAAGAAACCAGGTGCTGGTGGCTCAGGTGACTGAGACGTGAGGACAGTAGTTCGAAGTCACCAGAGCAGAAAGTGAAGCCAGAAGTGAAGCTAGGGCTTAAGTGGTGAAGCACCACTTTGAGCAAAAATGCGAAGGACAGCACCTAGGCCTTGAGTTTAAGCCCCATTCCTGGCACAAATAAATAACTAAGCATATAACATTAACAGGCAATCCAAAGAAATTTCAAAAACAAAAATTTTACATTCTCACACATCCATCATATAGCTCAGTTCATTTGGCGCTTTTAGTCCAGTACTATTTTAAATAGCTGTGTGAGATGCTAAGTATCCTACTCTTAATTTTGTGAAAATCTGCCTCCTCCAAAACAAATGGTACTCTAAAACTAAAGTAAAAGCTATTGTGCTTTTTGTTGTTGTTGTTACTATTTGTTTGCTTTGTGCTGGTGCTGGGCTTCAGCTTAGGGAACTAAGTTCTTGCTTAGCTTTTACACTCAGGCTAGTGCTCTAAACTTGAGTCACAGCTCCACTGTCAAAGCTAATGTGCTGATCTTAAGTAATACAGTGAAAATTTTATTAGATCTGTTCAAAGGTAGCATGCTTTTAGAGAAAGTTGAAGGGCATTTTGGGAAAAATGAATCAGTATTTGCAGCGGAACTTTACATCCTAAGCATTTGCAGTTTTCCTCAACAGTATGCTCCTTGGAACCATAGATCTGCAGCTGTCAAGGAAGGGTCTACTGCAGATATATTGACAGCAGACAGGAATCTGCAATAAGATAACTTCAATAGTATGTACTAATAAACATATTAACAAATGCATTCATAAAAACGGAAATAAAAACAATAAAAAGCAGGAAGCAGTGGTGTGCACTCATGTGTAGCTCATGCAGGACAGAGCCTACCTGGTAAGTGCAAGGACAACCAAGGTAAACTGGTTAATCTCCCTCCTACCCCAATTCTTTTTTTTTTTTTGGGGGGGGGGGGGGTCCGGTTGTGGGGCTGAACTCTGGGCCTGGGCGCTGTCCCTCAGATCTTCAACTCAAGGCTAGTGCTCTACCACTTGAGCCACAGCGCCACTTCCGACTTTTTTCTTTTTGCTTATGTGGTGCTGAGGAATCGAACCCAGGGCCTTGAGCATGCAAGGCAAGCGCTCTACCACTGAGACACCTTCCCAGCCCCATACCCCAATTCTTTCAGCATAAAAACAAACTTATTTTTCACACCCATCATCCTTACTCCTTAACTTCTCAATGAAAAATATGTGTCCAATCCATCCAAAGCCTGGGAAAAAGTGTTCTCCAAACACTTCCAGAATCTGGGACGTTACAATTACATGAGTAAGGTAATGAGTACATTTCTTGTAGAGCATTGTTACCCCCTCCTTTGTTAATGTGCTAAAAATCCCGCCACACCGCCACTGGTCAACTCTGACTCAATTTTGACTTTCTAACAGCTTCAGAATTTTCGTTCTGGGTAGATGAAGGCTTCTATTTATCTCTGGACTATTCATCATACCTGACTACAAGTACCAGGCAGACCACTAATACCTAGCCTCACTTCCAGCCTGTAGGTCTAGCGCTACCCCAATCCAACTGGACGCTAAATCCACATTGTCAACCTGCCGAGTTAACCTCACGAACACGTTTCACAGGCACATCAAATGCACATGAAATGCAACTTGAAAAACGAAAAGCTTGCTGCTCTTCTACAAAAACGGCAGTGTATCCTATTTTTTTTTTAAAGACTTGGTATCATTACCCTCTGTTCCAAGCTAAAAACCCTTTTTGCCTCCTTTTTCGCGCTCACTCTCTCATGTGGAAAAATTCAAGGTGACCTGAGTTAGGGTCAGTGTAAAAGCTGAGTCCTTCCACCGAATACCTTACTTACCCTGGGATCCAGTCTATGACTTCTGTCCATCTAATCACAGCCAGGAGAGAAAGCGACGTTAACACCACACACGGGGTGAAACACAGGAGACATCACCGTCTCCGGGAAAACTTCCCCGGATGCACGAGAGCACCTAAACCACCACCTCTTCCCCCGAGGCGGAGTCTCTCTCCGCGGTTATCGCACCGACTGCAAGCGATTTCCCGGGAGCAGCACGGACCACACAGCGACCGGTGACCGAAGAGGCGAAGGCTCCAAGGAAGAGGAGGTCCCCACCCCGCCTCGGACCCCGCACCCGCGGCGGGCCGAGCTGGGCCGGCGTCCAGCGCCACAAGTCCGGCGGCCCTCGCGTGCTCACCTGCGCGGCGCTCTGAGCTGAGGCTCCCCCGAATGCGACGCGTACGCCCTCGCCGCTCCCGCTTCGCTCCACCGGCCTCCAGACCCCAGCCCCGATGGCACCCAGGTCCCTCGGTACCTGCGCCGGGGCCTCAGGGGTAGAGACGCGAAGGCCCGAGGCTGGAGAGCAGCTCCGCAAGCAGACGGCGCGGCGGCGACGCACGGGCCGGGCGGCGCGAGCGTGACGTCATGCCGCGTAAGGGGCGTGCCCTGGCGGGGGCGGCGAGAGGAAGGGGCGGCCCCTGCGTCACTCGGTTATGGCCTTGTTGGCAGTCTCAGCAAAAGCGCGGTAGAAGGGCTGAGTTAACTGCCCTGCTCTGTCTCTCCGTCCTTCTGGAGACCCTATGGATACCCAATTTGACTTCAGATTGCCCGCCCTGTAATTAGGCAGAGGTGGGCGGAGCCAGGGGCAGCGCGCGCGTGCGCATCACCCTACCGAGCGCGCCGGAAGGACGTGGTCTGGTCTGGGCCTGCGGACGGAAGTGCTTGGGTCCCCGGGGCGGTCGCCATGGCTACCGAGCCGGTGACCGCTGAGCCTGAGATACCGTCGCTGGTGGATCGTTACTTCACTCGCTGGTACAAAGCCGGTGAGTGTGCCGTGTCGGCCATCCCTGCCGAGTTTGACCGTACGCCAGCCACGGAGCGCGCTCTCCGGCGCTTACCTCCCCCCGCCCCACCTCAGAAGAACCCGGATGTGGAGGGGTGGGAATGACATCTGTGGAGTGGAAAGGCAGACCTGCAGCAGGGCACATTCTGCGCATAGACAGCACGGTGCGGGTTGCGTGCGGGAAAACGAGTAGGCTAAATCGAAGCCCCGAGGTAGGATAGCTGGGGCCAGATGGCTAAGGACCTTGAGGGCCTGGAGGGGTTCGAGGGCTCCGGGCTGAAGAATGGCCAATTACTAAAAGTGATCGGAGCCGGAAGAGGCAGCAGGATAGACGGCACGGAGTTCTGCTTAAGGAAAAATCCACAGGCTGTTGTCTGCCTTGTGCATGTATTGTTTCGTGTACTCAGTAAATACTAGTGACAAGGACATCTTTAGGGACTCTAACCTCCACTTCCTCCCATTTGTTCAGTGTAACCCACACGCATGCACGCACGCACGCACACATACAACCATATTTGCTGTGGGCCTGATTTAGGATAACCATCTGCCCTGGTTCACGCAGGACGGGTTTTCTGGAACGTGGTACTTTTACCGTGCTAACATCAGGACTGTTCTGGAAGCCACCTATCAAAAGTATGCTACTATATTTTAAAGAATGTGGTCTTAAAGTGAAGATAAAGCACGTTGGAGCAAGTGCTTGATCACCTTACCATTGAATTAATCTGTCTGGGTCAGTTCCATTGAAATGCTTTATCAGAAGCCTTTACATATTTGTAAAAAAAGGGACACCAATGATGAGCCTGAATCTCATCTTCATAATTATCCCCATGAGCCCCAGAAAGTACCAAATAGTAATAAAAACTGATTCCTCAGCCAATAATCTATTTATTCTTCGTAAAGATGTCAAAGGAAAACCCTGTGAAGACCACTGTATCCTACAGCACTCTAACCGGTAGGTAACCAAATATTTTTAATTACCAAAAACTTCTTTCTTCTTACACCCTGAGTTCTAAGTTGAACAAAAACTTATTAGATAAAACATTATATTATTTGCCACTGCTGGTTGGGCATGCTGACACAGGTCTGTAATCCCAGCTACTTGGGAGACTGAGGTAGGAACTACATGGTCTGAGGCCAGCCCAGCCCAAAGCATAAGACCTTGTGTGTACTGGGGGATAGGGGGTGGGGAGAATAAGCTGGGCTACTCAGGAGCCTGAGCTCTGAGGATCACATTTCAGAAGCTGATCCAGGCAGGTAGAAACCTCCATGAGACTCTTATCTCCAATAATATACTCAGAATAATCCAGAAGTGACTTCTGTGACTCAAGTGGTACAGCATGAGCCTTGAGCAAGAAGGTCAAGGACAGAGCCAAGACCCTGAGTTCAAGTCCAGGACAGGCAGAAAAACAAAGCAAAACATGTGGGGGATGTGGCTCCAATGGTAGAGCATTTTTCTGGCCCTGTATATATGAGTGCATATACATGCATATGATCTTCACTGTGCTAAATAGTGTTATTATTATAATAGTTTGTTGGCAGAACTGAGTCTTCCAGGGCCTAGTCACTCAAAAAAAAAAATCTAAGTAGAGGACCATATCCTCAGTTAACCTGCTACCTAATGTAGTTAACCTGTGCCTAACAACTGAACTGCCAGAGCTCACCCAGGGAAAGGGTCATAGTTTCCTATATATAGACATGCCTTACTTCACTCTCTTCCACTTCAGTGCTACCTGAAGACTTCTGTTGGGCTGGGAAGGTGGCTCAGTGGTAGAGCTCTTGCCTTGCATGCATGAGGCCCTGGGTTCCATTCCTCAGCACCACATAAGCAAAAAGAAAAAAGCCGGAAGTGGCGCTGTAGCTCAAGTGATAGAGCACTAGCCTTAAGCTGAAGAGCTGAGGGACAGTGCCCAGGCCCAGAGTTCAGGCCACACAACTGACCCCCCCCCCCCCCAAAAAAAAGACTTCTGTTACTCTTCCCTTTTCTTGAAACTTCAATCTTTCTCCTCTTCTAAGATTACATTCCTTATATTACTATTAGGCTCCAATATTAGCCAAACAAAGAGATGATAGCTGACAAAACAAGTACCAGTTCAGTACCAATAGGAATTCTAATAGGAGAAAGAGTTATTACAAACAGTAATACAGAATCAATGTTTTCTCCTTGTAGAATATGTGTCATCACATTGGCTGCTTCTCATCCAGTTCTTCAAAGTGGAAAAACAATACAAAGTATTTCCTATCAGATCAGTACCAACTGTAGCAGACTTCAGAACAAGGTTTCTGGGAAATTCAAGCGGGTATGTTCCTGTAATTCTGTGGTGATATGGTAGAACTAGTCAGCCTTGGGGTCCAGTAAATGTATGGTCAGCATACCTTCTCTGGAAGTTTAAGGTGCTGATTTAAGTATATTTAACAGAAGTTCTCACAGGAAAAAGAAAGTCTTTCATTAGGTATAATGTCTATTATATTAGGTTCTATACTGCCATTCCTGTTATCCCCAGAATAGAGGAGGTAGAAGGTAAGCCTTTGAAAGGACAACTCTGTCGCTCATTTGTTCTGGATTTACTAAACCACTAACTCAAGTTCTAAAAAGGTATTATAGTAAGCTGGTGGCTCACACCCATAATCCTAGCTACTCAAGAGGCTGAGATCTGAGGATCACAGTTCAAAGCCAGCCCAGGCAGGAAATTCCGTGAGACTCTTATCTCTAATAAACCACGAAAACTGGAAGTGGCATTGTGACTCAAGTGGTAGATTGCTAGCCTTGAGCTGAAGAGCTGAGGGACAGCACCCAGGCTCAGAGTTCAAGCCCCACAACTGACAAAACTAACAAAAACAAAAACCAGCAGTTCCAGAAATACATCCTCTTTTAAGTCTTAGGAGTGCCTGTCAAAGGAAGTAGGAACATACATTGTTTAATTAACATCTCTCTTTTCATCGCCTAGGGAGCACAGTTTTTAACAGAACTTGCACCTCTGTGTAAAATTTACTGCTCAGATGGAGAAGAATATACCATATCTAGGTGAGTAATTGTGCCTTAACTTAAGATATCTATGTTCACTATGGTTTTTTCCGGGAAAACTTCCTGGGAAACATTGTTATTCTTTTCTCAAAAAAAATTGTTTTAAACAGCTGTATTAGAGGACGTTTGATGGAAGTAAATGAAAACATTCTCCATAAGCCATCTATTCTTCAAGAAAAGGTAAAAAGGAGTGCATGATCCCTACTTTTTAAAAAATATTTTTAAAAAATCATTTGACAGTGCTAGATATTCTGTTTTCTTTCCAGCCTTCCACTGAAGGCTACATTGCAGTTGTATTGCCCAAATTTGAAGAAAGTAAAAGCATAACAGAAGGTTTATTGACACAAAAACAGTATGATGAAATTGTGGGAAAACGAATGGATGCCACAACAGCTACATCTTGAGGACTGAAATGGAGTAGAAGTGATGGAAGATTCATAACCTTACCTGGCCAACCTTATCAGTGCACTGAAGGAGAAGCAGTAACTGTGAGACATGCTCCAAGGCTAATCCTTCAGTTAACTTTGTCTTCCTCCTTTGATTACACATAACAAGCCTTGCATCTCTTTGGTCTCCAAGCTCCCAAATCTGCCATCCTTATCTACTCTCTCTGTTTTCTTGGTTCTAGTAACTGGTAAACAAGGACTTTTTAAAAAATTAAAACCAAACTAAACTCTTTGACAGAAAAGTTTAAGTAGCCAAGAAAGAATAATTTACCCATCATATTTATACTCTGGAAGTAAATACTACATTTTGACATACTATTTTTGTTGTTGATGGTGGTGGTGGTAGTGTGGGTGTGTCCGTCTGTGTGTCCATCCATCCTTCCATGTGTCCATCTTGGGGTGTAAGCTCAGGGCCTGGATGCTGTCCCTGAAGTTTTGCTCAAGGCTAGCACTTTACCCCAGAGCCACAGCTCTACTTCCTACTTAATTGGATAAGACTTTCCTGACTGGGCTGACCTTGAATTGCAATCCTCAGATCTCAGCCTCCTGAGTAGCTAGAACTATAGGCATAAGCCATTGGTGCCTGGCCACTTACTGTGTTAGAGTCAGTTTTCCATCAGTTTGATGTTTTGGCTTTTCTTACTTCATCTGCTTGTGACACTACTGAAAACTCTTGTCTCACCACTTTTCCTTCTTCTTTTAGGTTGGAAGGAAGAAGCAGATGTACTTTCTTAAGCAAATGTACTCTCCTTACTCCAGTGAAATGGCCTTCCTCTGACTTAGAGAGACAAGAAAAGGCTTTGAAAATTACAAAGGACTTTGCTAGCAAGTAGAACTGTTAGAATGCACTATTGAACAGGTTCTTGCAAATACATTGCAATCACTAGTCTCATATCTTTTAGTTTCAGTTATCTTTAGATATATCTAATAAAGACTTCACTGGGAACATTTTATTCAGAGGGGTGGAATTGAACAAAGACATTCACATCATTAAATTTAGGAAAAACTGAATTTTTGGCCTAACATTAAATACTCAGTTTACACTGAATTTCAAATAGGAGGACTTTACTCTTACGTTTTCTTAAGGGTTACAACCCACACAAAGATTTAGTTATCCCTGTTTTTAACTGAAAATAGTTTGGTGCAAAAGAAATCACTTGATATATAAATTTCTTTGGTTCTTTTTCCTCATGTTGTTGAAGTCATGTTATCCCTTCCTACCCCCATTTGCATTTATAAGACACTATTCTTTTTGAGTGCTCTATATAGTTTTTTTTTTTTTTGTCGGTCGTGGGGCTCGAACTCTGGGCCTGGGCGTGGTCCCTCAGCTCTTCAACTCAAGGCGAGCGCTCTACCACTTGAGCTACAGCGCCACTGACACTATTCTTTTTAGGTGTATAAAAAGAGTGTTTTGTAAATAATTATTTGTAGTTCCCGACAACTTTGTAATTTTCAGGACATGATGTAGAAGATAACTATGGGTCTCTACAATGATAGTGCTATACTAGAAATAAAATCACACAGCTGTAGCTTCTCACTAAGAGCAGCACAGGGTTTCTTAGAGACTTCATACAAGCCAGGCACCAGTGGCTCACACTGGTGAGCCACTAGCTACTCAGATGCTGAGAGTTAAACAATCAGGAGTCAAAGTTAGTCTGTCAGTGAGACTCCCATCCCCGAAACAAGGCCCTGACTTCAAGCCTTGATACCAGCAAAAATTTTTAAAAGGAGAAAAAAAAGACTTAATACAGTGATGATACTAAAGCTATTAAAACTACATATGTATTTTAAATATACTTCCACTACCATAGCGATGATTTATAAGACTACTTCAGTTTCACAAAATAAAAATACATTCTTAATGACTTAATAAAAGAGATTTTTGGGTTTGTTTTGTGTTCTTATGCCAGTACTGAGGCCTGGTCTCAGAGCTGCCCATTTGCTCCATTTTCTTTCTTTCCTACTCATAGCTGACACTTCTGCAACCTGAGCCACATCTCCAATCTGGCATTTTGTTCATTAATTGAGTGGATATGGAGAGACTTTTCTTGCCCAGGGTGGTTTCAAACCATGATCCTCTAGGTCTCAGCTTTCTGAGTAGGTTAGATTACAGGGATGAGCCATGGGTCTCTGGAATTAGAAGTACTTTTTAAAGGCTATCAAGCTGAGTACACTAAGGGCTACAGCAAAAATTTTCTTCAGTGAAATATTGGCTAATTATACTTTAGTTCTTGACTAATCAGTAATCGTTCCTTCAGGATTTTGTGTGAACATTTTATGTTGGCTTACCCATATAAAGGTCATCAGAACATCTTACCTACTTAGCAACTGTTTTCAAAATATTGGGATACTGACACTAATATGACACTACTCCACAACAAAGATAGCCATACTAAATCATGAGAAAACCTCAGAGCCAGATCCTTCAGTCTATTCCACAAACAGAACAACTTTAAATGCTAAAATTAAAAATACCAAAGATGTTTATTTGTTATGCACATTGCAATGCCATATATATAAAATACAGTGTATGAGTATACAGAATAAACAGTGCCTCAGCTCCAAAGTTCTTCCTTTTTAACCTGCCATTCTAAGGATGGTTCACAACCTTTTTAAGCCAGTAGGAAGCCCTATTAGGGCAGATTGGCCAGCTATACTAGAACCCAAAGACAGTTACTTCCAGAAGTTTGCCGAAGATTCTGTGGAGTTCCATTAACTTGTTATTGAGAGTAGAGGAGGGATGTACAGATGATCCTTTTATGTGACACATGTTAGAAAACAGCCTTGCTATTACCATGGATGGTCTGTGACAGGGCATCCTCTGAGGGATGAAAAAACCCTGCGTTCCCCCAGACCACTGTACATTTTCTGATGAAATAGTGTTCTAGATGATAAGCTTAAATAAAGAAAACAAAGCATAAATGTCAAAGTTCAGCATATATTCAAAATAGCTTCTTTGGATTCAAATGTCATTAAGACAGTAGGAATATTTGGTTTAACTTTTAAAGAACATTATTAGTGCAAAGCCCCATTTTAAAATTGCATTGCAGTTAGAATTCTAGCAAACACCTTGGCACTAATTAGTTGTCAGAAAGCATCACAATCTGAAGACCAAAAAATAAAAGATTCCAGTATTTTCTTTATAGGAAGGATGAATTTCTGAAAGTATAAAGGAACATTTCCTTTTTTAGACATTTCATCTTTGCCACATAGAATCCCAGGAATCTGGACCAAAAGTTGTCTCAAGTTTTACTGTCCATGGCATCTTTATTGGTCACCGAGACCCAATTGTTATTTTCAACCTGAAACTGGAAAGAATTGAGATAATTATTTACTTTAAAGGAAAAAAAGGGGGGGGGAAGAGATTAAATACTATCCATTTCTTTCTTTTCTTTTTTGTGCCAATTCTGGAGCTTGAATTCAAGACCTTGAACTCTTGCTAGCTTTTCCGCTCAGGACTGGCATTCTACCATTTGAGCCATACCTCCAGTTCTGGCTTTTTGCTGGAGATAAGAATCATGAACTTCTGCCTGGTCTGGCTTTGAACTGCAGTCCTTAGATCTCAGCCTCCCAAGTAGTGAGAATTACCAGCATATGCCACCTTTGCTCAACTATTATTTTCCTTATTTTTTTTTTGCTGATAGCAGTATTGCCTTTTGTAGTCAGGTAGTGTACTAACTGAGACATACCTTCAGCCCAAAGTTTTAATTTTTTTTCCATTTTTTTTATTGTAAAAATACTGTGCAAAGAGGTTACAGTTACATGGTAAGGTAATGAGTACATTTCCTATCGAGCATTGTTGTCTCCTCCTTTGTTTTCCCCTGCCATCCTTGCCCTTCCCACCTCCCTTACTCCTCCCCCTCCCCAAATTTTAAAGTTCGTTTTCAACATAGTGTCTTGTACATCTCATTGTTACAACAGGTCAACCTGTATCCTTATTTAAGCATTTTGTTATTTCCCTTCCCCTCTCCAAATTATAAAATGTATATACAAGATGCAGGACATCAGAATAAGAAACAGTGAAAATAGGGGTTATACCATGGGGGAAGAACATACAAAAGAAACACATAATACATTATAAGTACCTTAAAAACAATAGCAAGAAAGAAAAAACCACTTGTGTCCCTGTCTTGGGGTTCATTTCGCTTAACATTATCTTATAAGGTCATATGTACATAGCTGTTGACTTTTTTTGCTTGTCCTAGACATGCACTAGTTATTGCAAATAAGGGAAACGATGGGACCTATGATTCTTTGGGCCTTGCTTACTTCACTTAGTATATTTTTCTTAATTATTTTTCTTTTCTTTTTCTGGTAGCAGTATTGCCTTTTGTAGTCAGGCACTGTATTAACTGAGCCATGCCTTCAGCCCAAAGTTTTAATATTTTAAAAAGCCAGTTGAAAATAGAAAATGACCTCACCTTCTTTAGCAGCTTATAGCAAAGTGAGAGAAGTTGGACCAAGAGAGCCATCATAAATCTTGTCTTTGTAATACATTTATCAACCTACAGTGACAAAAAACATGAGAATCACATTCTAAAACCGATTCCTTCATAAAATATTATCAGTTTTTGTTTTTTGGGTCCAGTCGTGGGGCTTGAACTCTGGGCCTGGGCGCTGTCCCTCAGCTATTCAGCTTAAGGCTAGCATTCTACCACTTGAGCCACAGCACCACTTCTGGCTTTTTTCTTTTTGCTTATGTGGTGCTGAGGAATCAAGCCCAGGGCCTCATACATGCAAGGCAAGCGCTCTACCACTGAGCCACCTTCCCAGCCCTATCAGTTAGTTTTAACATGATAAAATTTCCCCATTGTGGAACTCTAAGAAGTCTTGAAAGGCATACATTAGAAGACATAAGCTGATTGCAAACCTCACAACAGGACTGTCGATCCAGGTCTCGTGCCTTTTTTATGGAACCCCAGGAAAAATAAGAGGAAAAGCAACTACTACAACTAGCTAGGAGATTTTCAAACACTAAATACTGGCATTGAATCTGCCTCTGTGCCATTTTAGCACTCTGCCTCGTTGGCATAAGCTCACATTTCCTCAGTTAAATTGTAGGAAACTAGACTCAAGAGGGGTCTGTGCCACTCACAAGTGAGGACTTAAAAGTGGCTCTATGGCACTATGGATTAACCTATGACCAGGCTCATTTATTTGCTGAACCTGCTGCTTCCTGAGGTCAGTTATACCAGAAGATAATCAGGGCTGGGAAGGTGGCTCAGTGGTAGAGCGTTGCCTTGTATGTCTGAGGCCCTGGGTTCCATTCCTCAGCACCACATAAGCAAAAAGAAAAAAGCCGGAAGTGGCACTGTGGCTCAAGTGGTACAGCGCTAGCCTTGAGCTGAAGAGCTGAGGGACAGCACCCCAGGCCCAGAGTTCAGGCCCCAGGACCGGACCCCCCCCCCCCAAAAAAAAGATAATCATGGATAATTCAGTCATCATGAAAATCAACATGCCATAATTATTAACACTTAAAAAAAAAGTGAGTGTACTAGTATTATAAATGTTTACCTAAATAATCCACCCCATCTTTTACCTTTAAAAACACTTTATTCTGCACAGATGTCTTAGTCATTGTCTGAAGCTGGTGGCACAGGGGAATTAGCTTGTTTATTTCCAGGAGAAGCATAAGCTTGTCATCATCTTTCAGCTGAAATGCAATTTAGGAAGTTGTAACTACTTCATCAACATTCCATCTTTTAAATCTGAAGTCCTTTAACTCTTAATAATATAGTCCCAAAGTGGGTATACAAGGCATCACCACAAGACCACGGAAGTGGACAAAATTACCTGTTTTGAAAAGGCTTGTGCACTTGCAGTAACCTTCAATCCCTCAGTGGCAAAATCCTGGCAAAGGAGAATGTCACTGTTTTAGACTGATGTTTAGTGGATAATTAGCAAGGAATATACTTGTTAATAATTTTATATACTTTAAAACATATAATGGAACACTAAAATCCTATAGAACTTCTAAAGATTTTTTTTTGGGGGGTCCAGTCGTGGGGCCTGAACACTGTCCCTCAGCTCTTCAGCTCAAGGCTAGCGCTCTACCACTTGAGCCACAGCGCCACTTCCAGCTTTTTTCTTTTTGCTTATGTGGTGCTGAGGAATCGAACCCAGGACCTCATGCATGCAAGGCAAGCACTCTACCACTAAGCCACCTTCCCAGCCCCTAAAGATTTGTTGTATGCAAGTAAACATAAGAGATTAACTGGATTCAGAGGTATTTTCCAGACTAGGAAGGCTCCTCTATATTGGAAACCTCCAATTATTCTGAAGAGTCATACAGACCTGTGATACTCAGCCACTCATTGTGTGTGGGTTTCTCCAGGGATCTCATAAAATTCACTATTATGTTTATTTTATTTTGCCAGTCATGGGGCATTAACTTGGCCTGGGTGCTGTTCCCGAGCTCTTCAGCTCAAACTAGTACCACAGCACCACTTCTGGCTTTTTATGTTTATGTGGTACTGAGGAGTCGAACTCAGGGCTTCATGCATGCTAGACAAGCACTCTATCACTGAGCCACATTCCCAGACCCAAAATTTCCATTTATAAAAGGAAGACTGAAACTTGGAACATGAGGTCCAAAAGGTTAGAACATTGCTAATCCCATCTAAGAATACACATTCCATAAGCAGTTTGAGAGGATTAGCTTATTTCTTCTTGTTTTCATATTGATTTTCACCGTTCACCATGCACTTAAATAGTGAAAACTGAACAGATACAAATATTCAGGACATTGTATTTAAATGTACATGTAAATTCAGTGTGGGGGGTGGAACTGTGTCTAAATTCCTAGCTATTTAAAGACACTGGAAGGATCATGGTTCAATAGCAGTTCAGGCAAAAAGTCTGTGTGACCTCATCTTAAGCAATTAAAAAACAAATTCGGACTGGGCATAGTGGAATGAAACTGACATCCCCTTATCCCATCTACACAGGAAACATAAAATCAAGGGGTCACAGTCCAGGCAGGCCAGGCATAAGTCTGAGAAAAATAAATATTTTGAAAAAATAAACGTGAAATAAGTAAATATTTGAAAAACAAAAAAGGGCTGTTATAGAGATCAAGTAGTAGAGCAACTGCCTGGCAAGCACAGAACCCTGAGTTCAAAGCCCAGGAATGGTGTAAGTTTGATGAATAAGCTCACATGGAATAAAGTGAGTGGAATAGGTGAATTTAAGTGAATTAGCTCATTTATAGAAAAGCTTGCGAAAACACTTTCGGTAATCCTATTTTGACAGCTATTCCTTTCAGTTGAAATCCTTGTCCTGAAGCAGTTCTTACAGAAGCATACAGGAATGCCAAAGAGGACTAAATAAGAGTGATCAAGTGATACAAACTCCTAAATTTCAAATGCAGGAAAACAGACTAACACGGGACAAAATAGGGAAGGAGTTTTGTGACCCATTTGCCAATCTAAAGTCTCTATCTAGAATGTGAACTCATCTTCTAGAGATAGGCTACATGGAGTTCCACTAAACGTACAGGACAAAAAGTAACATGTCTGTCTTTCCCTCCATGTTCTGAGTCATCATGAATGTGGATGGAAAGAAGGAATAACTGAATATCATCCATTAGCATGCGACAGAAGCTTATGTATCATCTCATTTAATTGATACCATTCAATTCAGTGAAGAGGTCAGAAAGTCTTACTAGAACTCTAGAAGATGTAAGGGATTTGTATCTGTCTACAGGAAATTTTCACCTACTTGGAAAAACGTAAAACGTACTATTGTGTCTATTAGCCTATTCTGCATTGCCCCAATAATATTTAAATTTCTTTCTGGCAAGATAACCAAAATATTAGTGCAAGCCCTTTAAATTTTAATTTTCAGTACTCTGTATTACACTCCAGTGTGTACACAGCAAGCATACATGTATAATAGAATAAATCACTTAGAATAACAAGAATAGGTATGATGATGCATACTTACAATCCCAGCTACTTAGGAGTCTCAGGTAGAAAGATAACCAGTTCTAGCCCAGCCTAGGCAATTTAGCAAAATCTGTCAAAATTAAAATGAAGCTGGGCACTAGTGGCTCATACCTGTGATCCTAGCTACTCAGGAGGCTAAGATCTGAGGATAGTAGTTGGAATCCAGCCCAGGAAAGAAAGCCCATGAGACTCTTATCTCCAATTGAGCTCCCAAAACCCAGATGTGGCTCAAAGAGGTAAAACACTAGCCTTGAGCACAAAAGCTTAGGGACAGTGCCCAGGCCCTGAGTTTAAGTCCCAGGAACAGCACAAAAAAATAAGTATAAACAAAAATGAAAAAGGGTAGGAGATAAAGTTCAGTGTATGAAGCCCTGGGTTCAGTCTGAAATGCCTCAAAAAGAGGCATTTATAACTCCCTTACAGTTCACAAAGTACTGGCATACAATGAAAACAAAAACATACCTCTAGGTGATGAACTAAATCACGGGAAGTTTTCAGTGGCCCCTCCCCTCTAAAATAAAATGAATTATTAAGAATGTTAAAAAAGTTATTACCTAGAAATTCGTTGCTTAACAAAAACTAGAGCATTTTGTTTATTAACAGAGCCCAAATTATGATGAGTAATATGAATAAGACTAATATTATTGTGATATATTCTTATATGAGTTATAGTAGCTACCTATTATTTTCCAAGCTTAAAGTTTAAGCCAGGCACTAGTGGCTCATGCCTATAATCTTAGCTACTCAGAAGGTAAGATTTAGAGGATCAAGGTATAAAGCCAGCCTGGGCAGAAAAGTCTAAGAAACTCTTCAATTAACCAGCAAACTGTGGGACTGGACAGGGACTCAACTGATAAAGTACTAATGAACAAAGGGAGTGAGGTCCTGAATTCAAGCCCTGGTACTGTGACCCCCCAAAAAAGCTCATGTTCATTTATAATGAAAAGAAATTTTAAACTGACAAGCTATATTAAAGTTCTATTTGTCCTGCAAACAGATCAGACCAAAAGTGAGGAAATTCTCACCTTTAATTCTAATTTCAACTCTGGCAGGAACTAAGCAGTTCAGCTTTATATAGACATACTATTTAAGTTTTAATTTTAATGTAAATAATAATAAATTTTTTGTACCAGTCAAATTAGGAGATTGGGAGATACTAGATTAAAAACTACCAAGATGAATTAAGAACTCTAAAAAATGCAAAGTAAAATAGGAGAATTCATTAACAAGAGCAATAGAGCAGACCTAAGTCAGAAGATGTGTACTCAAGTAGCAGATAGGTCTTCCCCTTAATAGCTATGAGACATGAAGGAATCATTCCTGTTCTTTGATAAACTATCAAGAGGATCAAATGATCTCAGGAAACAAAAATCATATTGAAGACAATATGACACTGATAGGTTTGATTTTTTTAACCACAATGCACTAGAAGAGCTTAAACATTAGTAATTGTTTAAAACCACATTTTACATTATTACATATTGCATTATTACAATGACCTTAAGCAATTGCCTGAGGAAAGGTTATAAAGTTGCCAGGAATAACTAGTCTTGGAATTAAGTACCTAAATGAGGCTGGTGGGTAAAGGAAAATGTAAAAGACTATGGGGGAAGACAAAAACAGTGTGGGTCAGGAAAAAAACAACTTGAGACTTGACCACAGAGAGGTAATTACATCATTAAAAGACATATAAATGAAACAAGACATTTATGTGTTAACAGAAAATCCATTTTCCTTTCCTGTTTCATTATTCCTGTCCAATAACCATGCTCTGGCTCCACAGAGCTTTAGCAATCCCTACCCCTCCTCCATGGGGCAGCCCTTTAGTCTTCTAAGTCTTTTTTTTTGGGGGGGGGGGAATGGGGGGGTGTCTGGTCGTGGGGCCTGAACTCTGGGCCTGGGCGCTGTCCCTCAGCTCTTCAGCTCAAGGCTGGCGCTCTACCACTTGAGCCACAGTGCCACTTCTGGCTTTTTTCTTTTTGCTTATGTGGTGCTGTGGAATCGAACCCAGGGCCTCAGGCATGCAAGGCAAGTGCTCTACCATTGAGCCACCTTCCCAGCCCTAGTCTTCTAAGTCTTTATCAAAATTCAGTATTCTGAATTTGAAACAAAATATACTATCTTGAATTATTCTAAATAAGAACTAATCAAAGAGGTAGTTATGCTGGGCATGGTGGCATATACCTGTAAGCCCAGCTACGGCAGGCTGATCTTGATAACCCTATGATTAGTAGAAGTAGTAATAGAGTAGTATTGTGCGAGTCCTGGGGCTTGAACTATGGGCCTAGGCACTGTCTCTGAGATTTTTTGCTCAAAATTAATGCTCTACTACTTGAGACACAGCTTTACTTCCAACTTTTGATAGATAATCAGAGATAAGAGTCTAGTGAAGCCGGGCGCCCGTGGCTCACGCATGTAATTCTAGCTACTCAGGAGGCTGAGATCTGAGGATCACCGTTCAAAGCCAGCCCGGGCAGGAAAGTCCGTGAAACTATTATCTCCAATAAACCATTAGAAAATCAGAAGTGGTGCTGTGCCTCAAGCGGTAGAGCATGGCCTTGAGCTGAAAAGTGCAGGGACAGAGCCCAAGCCCAGAATTCAAGCCCCATGAACAACAACAAAAATGTGGTAAGGTACTAACAGATGATAAAACAATGTCAAAATTATCAACTCATCACTTCTTCCTTACCCTCTTAAAAAAGGCAGAAGACACCAAAAAAGCCTCTTAGCTACAGAATGCTTCTTCCTCATCTTTCCTTCACACCATGGAATCACTACAAACGTAGCATCGCTCCCTTCTATCCTGCCTCACACATTCTAGCCTATAAAGAACCGTGATCTTCTCTTTCTGATGTCTTTGCAGAAACTAACTGCATACTGTAGTCACTTCTCTTCCCTCGTGTATTTTGGAAGTAGAGCTGCCTCTGAGAGGTTCTCACGTGTTTTATAGTCTGTCCCTATGAAGGAAGATTTCTTCATTCCAAAGAACATTTTGTAAAAACCTGCTTGTCTGTAGATACAAACACTCTTCAGTATTAGTTTATTAATCCTCTCAAAACCAAAATGATCCAGGTGCTCCTGGTTCACACCTTTAATCCTACTCAGAAGACTAAGATCTGAGGATCACAGTTCAAAGCCAGCCTAAGTAGGAAAGTATGCGAGTCTCTTTTCTCAAAATAATCACCAAAGAAAAAAAAAAACCAGAAGTAGAGCTGTGCCTTAAGTGGTAGAGCATTAGCCTTAATCAAAAAAGCTCAGGGACAGTGCAACACACACACACACACACACGCGCGCGCGCGCGCGCGCGCGCGCGGAATATCTAGAAAATACTTAAAGTCTAAGACTGAACAATGTGATTATCACTGACTTCAATGAAGTATTTAATCAAGTGTCTTTTAATATAAACAAGAGAATATTAAAGTTAGGGAAATTGGTCTTCTTGTTACATTAAAACAAATTGCTTTAACTACTTCTACTCTTTTGCCATATACTAAAACTATTGACCTTAACCTATCATAGCAACTTCTCTTTATACTGAATATTCATATACTGATTCAAAAAGACCAAAATGTAAGCACATTACCTAGTAAATAAATACAGAGAATAGGCCATCCTGGACATGTTTCGACCATACCGAACTATCTCATTGTCTTGATCCTCCCACTTCTCAATTTCACAGTCGGCATCGGAGCTGAGCAAACCCAGCTTAAGTCCAAGCTTTGCTATCTTGGCTTGCTCCTACAAATACACATTTTAATTACAACAACATTGTCATTTCTTATATAAAAGAAAGATTAGATGTAACACAGTTACAAAAGGAAAGGTCTTACCTCAGAGTCAGGCTTGTCTTGCTTCAATGACTTCAGGTTTGCACTATTCTTCTATAACAATTAAAAAAGAATAAGATAATTTAATTGTAAGGAAACACAACAATAGTCTAAGTACTGGTAATAAAATTTTATTCACACGAATTTGTTGCTTTTTTTTTGCCAGTCCTATGGCTCAGACTCTGGGCTTGGGCACTGTCCCTGAGCTTTGCCTCTTAATCAAAGTTAGTGCTCTTCCACTTGAGCCACAGCACCACTTCTAGCTTTTTCTCTCATTAACTGGAGGTTAAGAGTCTCATAGGCTTTCCTGCCTGGCTTCAAGCCATGAACCTCAGATCTCAGCCTCCTGAGTAACTAGGACTACAGGCATGAGACACTGGCACCCGACTAAATTAGTTGTTTTAATTATGTTATTTTATGAAAGTGTTTAATGAAGGATAAAGGGATTGCCTAAAAAGTTAAGCCAATTTAATAAGGTGATCAAGCTTGCCACCTAGTGGACACTATTTTGAAATACACTCAGACTTATACTCCAAATCTACTTCCTAAAAAATTTCTTTTTTTTTTTTTTTTTGGTCCGGTCGTGGGGCCTGAACTCTGGGCCTGGGCGCTGTCTCAGCTCTTCAGCTCAAGGCTAGCGCTCTACCACTTGAGTCACAGCACCACTTCCGGCTTTTTTCTTTTTGCTTATGTGGTGCTGAGGAATGGAACCCAGGGCCTCATGCATGCAAGGCAAGCGCTCTACCACTGAGCCACCTTCCCAGTCCTTCCTAAAATATTTCTAAAATATTAGCTATGCTGTTGTCAACTAATGAAATGATTCTTGATTTTAGATTCTTTATTGCTAAGGAGCTCCATCATTACTCAGTGCAACAACATTTTTGTTCCATTCAACTATGTGGTGTTTTTGCTTGTTTTGATTTCATTTTCTCTGTGATAGGGATCAAATCCGGGGTCTCCACATGCTGGACAAGAGCTCTACCACTAAGCTATAGCTCCAGCTTTCTTTTTTTTCTTCTAATTCTTTGTTTCTTTCTCTGTCTTTGTCTCTGTCTCTGTCTCTCTCTGTTCTTTGAGACAGAGTCTCCATGTAGCTCATGCTGACCTCATGATCCTTCTTTCTGCCTCAGCCTACCAGTGCTGAGGTTACGGTGAATGACAATGAACAGAAGTACTTTATAAACGTATATAAGAGAATAATGAAACTTGCTGAAATTGTTTCATGAAACACCTGGGGAGAGTCAGAAAGACCTATGGAGTGAGTTTGACTGGTGCGTTTGTATGTATATATGTAAATGTCACAGTGAAACACCCTTATATACAAACATATGCTAATAAAAATGTCAATTAAAAAAAGCCAACCTGTCCTTATCTGCTTATGAACAGTAAAATCTTATTATAATGTCATCTCTTTGACTTGATTTAAAGAAAAATAGATGAATTTATGTCTATACTTTTCAAACTGTTCTGAGAATAGCTTAAGGCTTAGAAGTAGTTTTCAAAAAAAAAAAAACCCACAAAATCACTTTGTAGTGTTATGACTTCCTTTTCACTGGCTATATTAAAATTTCTAATGACATGTCAGTATTAAATAACATTCTCTCTTCAAAAAAATGCACTAGTTACTAATATGCCTTTTTGAAAATACGAGCACTGGCTTTATCATGTATTCATCGCCTAGACAGTTACCCATTCCTGCTATCATTTCTTTGTCCTCAGATGTAGTTGTTCCTCTTTCTCCTCTTCTTCCTCCGTTTTTCTCTCCCCTTCCTCCTCCTCCCTTCCCCCATCATCATTGTTCCTTTTGTATCTAAGCCAGGCTGGAATTTCAACCCAGAGCCTAGCAAGTACTCCACAACTTGAGCCAAGTCTTTCAGCCCTTTTTGCCTTAGCTATTTTTCAGATAGGGTCTTGTGCTTTTGCCCAAAATTAGTCTCAGACCCACCACCTTCCTATCTCTACCTCCCATGTAGACAGGATTATAAGTATGAGTCACTGTCTCTGGCCCAGGAGTTTTACTTTGTGTCTCTTTGGGCCTGTTCTCTGATATTCACCATCTGTTTTTCATCACTGCTAAATGTCAACAGTTCTCCCTTCTCTGTATTCATTTTCTTTTTATAGGAGTTTATACTTGCACTGTTCAATATAGTTGCTATTAATCACAAGTGAACACTTGAAACATTGCCAGTCATAAAATGTGGTATCTCCTATACTTCCATCAGAAAGAATGACACTGCCCCATTTGTAAGGAAATGAAAGGACTTGGAAAAAGTCATATTAAGTGAAGTAAGTCAGAACAAAAGAAACAGGTCTCATGGTTTTCCTTATTTGTAATAGCAGAATAGCTCAATAGCTATGTACATATGACCACACAGGATGATGCTAAGTGAAATGCACTCCAAGACATGAACACAAGAGATTTTTCTTTGTTGTTGTTGTTTCTTTGTTGTTATTTTAATATATATTTTTATTGTAAAGATACTGCACAGAAGGGTTACAGTTACATGAGTAGGGTAATGAGTACATTTCCTATTGAGCATTATTACCCCCTGATTTCTTTTTTTCTTTTGTGTTTCCCCCACTATGGTTTATCCCATTGCCAGTGTATTTGATTTTGGTACTCTGGGTATTATATATGTGCATGTGAATTAGGGAAGGGAAAGGAAACAAAAAAATGGTGAGACAAAGGACAAAGGGGAAGCCAATGCAACAGTGATACTCACAAGACACTATGTTGGAAATGATCTGTACAACTTGGTGGGAGTATAGGGGGAAGTGAAAAAGGGAGAAAAATGAGGGAGGGGATAACAAGTTCGATAAGAAAAGTACTCAATATCTTATGTAACTGTAACCCCTCTCTACTTAAAAAAATATATGGTATCTCTGTAAAATACACACTGGATTTTGAAGACTTAAGAAGACAAAAAAAAAGTTTTCCATAGTTTTATGTTGGTGACACTGAAGTGATACTATTTGGAATATTCTGGAAATACAGTATATTATGAAATATTTTTTAATACAGCTTCTATAAAAATTTGAACTATGTATGTGCCTTGGATTGTATTTCAACTGTTAGATAGTCCAGACGAGGCCGTCAGCGACCAGCAAATTTTCATTGACTCAACAAATTATCAAATTATTTTCTAAATATCAAATGAATGTCAGACAGTTCAAGACAACAGAAGTACCATAGTAAGTAAAATATTTTTTCTAATCCCCACCTGTAGAATTCATCCTCTGGTATCTTTTGCAACATTTCTATTCTAGTGCCTAGCAAGTTGTAGAAATAGTCAATGATTAAATGACGAACAAATTGGTTTTTGCCTGTCATATAAAATGTTTGATATCTTAAAAATGAGTCATCAAAGTGCTCTTCCTTTGACAATTGAGAGCTTGTTATAGTTTTATGAAATATAATTTATAAGTCTTTTGTTATCTCATTAACCATCATAATTTCTTCTTTCCCAGAAGCTACTTCTACACAGTCCATTGTTTTTCCTCAGCTTCTGATATAAGACTTATTAGGACTGAGTGCTGGTGGCTCATGCCTGTAATCCTAGCTACTTGAGGATCTGAGTTCAAAGCCAGCCCAGGGAGGAAAGTCTGTGAGACTCTTATCTCCAATGAACCAGCAAAAAAATGGAAGTGGCACGGTGGCTCAAGTGGCAGAGTGCTAGCCTTGAGCTAAAGAGCTGAGGGACAGCACCCAGGCCCAGAGTTCAAATCCCATGACTGACAAAAAAAAAAAAGACTTATTAGGCTTGATGGTTTTAGAAGACTAGTCCTTTTTGATAATGGATTCTTTTTATTTTAGCTATAATTTCTGCGCGTGCGCGTGTGCGTGTGTGTGTGTGTGTGTGTGTGTGTGTGTGTGTGTGTGCGCACGCGCGCGCTGCTGATACAGAGGCTTGAACTCAGGGCCTGGTTACTGTGCCTGAGCTTTTTTGTTTAGGCACTAGCTCTAAGCAAAAAGCCAGAAACTTCATTTGTGTTTGGTGGAAAACTGGAGATGAGTCTCAAGGACTTTCCTTCCTGGGCTAACTGAACAATGATCCTCAGATCACAGCCTCCTCAGTAGCTAAGATTACAGGCATGAGACACTGGCACTCGGCTTCTGCTTCCTATTTTTATTGCATGTTATTAGTAACTATAAGTCACATAGAATGATGTCTACAAATGAATTGCTAGGATCACCAAAGTGTCATCTGGGTAACAAGATTGAGAGCACATGGTTATCAGTCAGAGATGGGATTTTACTTCCTAAAAAGGATCCCAGGACCAAAGTTGAGCTAATTTATCTTTGTCTTCCCTCCACCCCATGTATATAGCATGCTTTCCTCTAGGTAGAAAGCATATAACAATTCTTAGTCTACAGAAAATGATTCCAACATAATCTTGCTAAACAGACCCAAGACATGAAGAATAAAACCATATGTAGCATCAGACTATGCCTTAGTCACCATCATTTCTGTTACTGATTCTCTCAAATCTCCACTTCCAACAAATATTCACGATATGAACCACATGTAGCTTGCTACCCAGAGTAACAGCTCTGAACAGTATGCATTGAACGTTTTTTTTTCTATGTAGGGACAGAATGGTAGCAGTAAGCTACCATTTAAATTTTAAATGCTAGAAAGTTAAAATTCTAAATAAAAACGTTCTGAAATGTATGTAATTCTACTTACCATTGGCTTTGGTAGTGAAAGGTAGCCATACTTCTCTCCTACAAATAACATATATAACAACACTTTTTATTAATGTATTTCTATTATTCACATTTACCTGTTAAAATATTATTAAACAGGAATGTTAATGCCTTAGTTCTAATAATTTAGTCTCTTAAATACATGTGATTCAAAAATAAAATCCTATCTTCCTTGGCAAACATGAAGACTGTAAATACCTGCATTTCCAGTACACCTGTGGTGGCAGTCTCTACCAGTCTAATGGTAGAAAATCAAAATGTCTTCAAAATTAACTTCATTTAATGTTCTTTATGTTCCTATTGAAACTAGATTCCTCTTTTATCAGTACCAATGCTGGAGTTTCTTTTCTCCAAGTACCAAATCATTTACAACTAACCTCATAAGTATTCTCATTAGGGAAGAGGACAGCCCCCAAGAATAGTAAGATGAAACAAAACAATTAACAGGGATTAAATAAAAACATTATTAAAACAAATATCACTATTAATTTTTGATTTTTCTTATTTCTACTAGAAAATTTTACATCATATATTGACTCTGTAATCTACTTCTGTTGGACATTACTAATCTATAAGATGAATTATTGCTAAGTATCAACCTTTAGAAGTAGTTAATGATTAAAATCATTTCTTTGTCATATCAGAAGTGGTAGGGGATTTAATTGTGATAACAAAATTGTAAGATTTTGAAAAACGAGTTTAAAGGCATTTTCATTCCCCATCTCCAATCTTCTCATACATAAAGAGCCTGATTTACTTGGGTTACTTCAATGTCAAAATTTACCAATGGTCTAATTCAGAGTCTGAATCCTGTCCATAATATCTGTAAAAAGTTGTCTTCATATGCTCTTTAGAGAGGCACACTACTTAAATACCAGCAAGTAACCTTGCATTATCTAACCTAGGGATCCTACATAGAGCCAGTAACCCTGAAATGCTCACATTTACTCTCCAAGAAGGGTGACAGGAACACATTTCTAAGATACAGCAAAGCTGAAGAAACTAGAATGTAGAGAGAAATAAAGAGCTTTTATATAATCTAGTTTGCCACCGTTACTATCCACCTAGCAGTATTTGTCACTGGTAGTTCAATTTCCTGTAGTCCTCTTTTAAGAATTTGCTTGTTTTGCTGTCTATTCCCATCCAACTTAAAAGTAACAAGATGGGCACTGTAACCCTCGCTACCCAGGAGCCTGAGATCTGAGGATGGGGATTCAAAACCAGCTTGGGCAGGAAAAAGTCCAGGAGACTCTTTATTTCCAATTAACCAACCAGATACCAGGAAGTAGAGCTATGGCTCAAAGTGGTAGAATGCTAGCCTTGCAAAAAGAATTCAGCGACAGCACTCAGGTCCTGAGTTCAAGCCCCACAACTAACGAAACAAAACAACAACAACAAAAGGGAACAAACCAAAGAGCTGTGTAAATGAAAAGCAAGTACAGGATTTTCCTATTTCAATTCTGGCCTGTCCGCTGTGGGTGGCAGAATATTCTGCTGAGGGCTGGAAGGCCATTTGTGAGCTCAGTGTGTGAAAAATATTAGGATCAATCATCAACTTCTGTCTTGGAGCCAGGATGAGGAATGTTATCACTCATACCAAACACATTTACCTTCTCTGTTCCAATCTAATTCTCTTGCTTTAAATACGGAAACACAAAGTATAGACGTTCCAGGATTTTCAAGGTCACACGATGATAAAAATACAAAGTAATAAAAATAAATGATATCATTTTGCTACATTGTAAGCATTATGACAAATTATCTTGTGTACACAAAGAAACTGCTCAAAGCCCAGGTAATATGCATAGGCCCCCATTATTAATAGACTTTTACACCCAATTATCTCTTCTATAATTTAGCCAGCCCCATCCTCAGCTAATGAGCCATAGACCCAAACAAGAGGACAGTTTCTTGGCCCTCAATCACTTGTTCTTGCTCCATACTTCCTGAACTTCCTAGATTAGGATCTCCTTGTCATGTCTAGAATGGAGTGGGAGGGAGGCGGGCAAGACTCAGAGCTGTAGTGGTAAGCATTTTTCATGGAATTAGTTCATTCTCTTTAGACTGCTTTAGGGATGGACTGGAGTTTAACTGCTTGAGTACATTTCAGTGGTTGATAAAAATTTCATCTTTGGCATCACTCAGATTCAATAAGACCCCAGTTCTGTTACTCACTCACTGTGGGACCCTGGCATATTAAGTTCTTTAAACATCAGTTTAGTTATAAATAAAATATGGAAATATTACCTGTCTGGCAGGGTTACTAAGAGGCTTAAATGTAATAAAATGCACAGCTAGTACTTATCAAAGTAAACAGAGTAAACTCCCAATAGATGGCAGTCACTGTTATTTGTATGGCTGTATACTTTTCTGACTGATCACACTGATAATTTTACCCATACAGATACTAGTAGTCTGAGGTTTTTATTTTTCACTGAATCTCCCTTGTTGATTTTGTAAAAAGGTTAACTGTGGTAGGAAAAAAGATGAATCCAAGAAAAAGAAGAAAAAAAAAAGGAACAAATGTTGTAGTAGATGTGAACTGAGAGAGACTTTTAGAGAAGGGCAAAGCTTTGTGTGCACAGAAAGCGAATGTAGACTCTCTTCCACAGGGCACAGGGTGAGAGACCAAAAGCCGAAAGCCTCAACAGAGGGAAAGGACACAGGGAGAGCTGCGTGTCAGAAAGTGGGAAAGATTGGGAGTAAGGGGGAAAGCTGGACAGACTGTTTTTCATAAATTGTCCATACTGCAATGTACTGGCAGTCACAATAAGAAAAGAAGTAGCATGTGTTGAGAACATGCTACAAATGCACTTCTTAATCTTTAACCTACTGCATGAGGTATGAGGTATTTATGTCCCAATTATCCCATTTTCCATATGCAAAAAATTGAAGCACAGAATGATTAAGTTAATGAGTAGCACAGGCAGTGTGGGAACCCAGGCAGTTCAGAAACTGGTTTTCAACTTCTATCTAGTTCTGTCCTCCAGAGTGTGATTATCACTCAGATCCCAAAAAAAGGAAGCAATCCCTCAAGGAGAAATACAACTTGAGTTTATTTGATTTTTGGCAGAAAGAAATTAATATTTATAAGAAGACAATCCCTCAAGTTATTGGTTTCTATTTACTATTCTAATTGCTACTCAGAACTTGACTCAGGATTAACAAACTAGGAGGGCTGGGAAGGAACCTATTATAAATCTTTTGTTCTTAGGAATCAAAAGACTAAAATGGTAGTCGAATGACCTGGCTTAGAAACAGTGAGGATCCCAGACACAAAGAGAAAGGCACCTTAGGCATTTGGTCATGGGACTAGAACAGAGGAATTCAGATCTAGCTGGCCCAGGGACACAAAAAGAGTGCAAGTGATCGGAATTCAACTACGTCCCATTTTTAATGAGCAAAAGCAAAAACTTACCCAGTATTGGAAGTGATATGACAAAAGTTTCAGAAGAAAATTTCCTCTTTTACAGAGAGGCTTGGGGGATAGAAGCAAAGATGTACTTTCATGCTCAGTGCTCCAAAATAGCCCAACTTCGGATAGTGCTCACAAAGGACTAAGCACGGCCTTGGAGAGCACCCAGCCTGAGGCCTTCATGACTGGAGCCATAGACACTGAGGCCTAGGGCAAGGAGGGCTGGCCCATAGGAATAAGAGAACAGCTGGACTGGCAGGTGCTCTGGCTTCTCAAGTCACTTCTCTTCCTTTCCTAATGAAGAGATTGCTTCAGCAAAGTGACCGTTCCTCCTTAAATGTGGATCAACTATACCTAACCGTAGCTTTTAATATATGAAACCTGCCTCATATCAAAATCCATGTCACTGTAAATACCCCATGAAAGTATTAAAATGACATACTGCCATTTAGAGTAGCTACTACATAATTGTTGTTGTTGTTTGTTTTTTCATTGGTCCTGGGGTGAGAACTCAGGGCCTGAGCACTATCCAAGGCTATGGGCACTATTAGCTCAAGGCTAATGCTCTACCACTTGAGCCACGGCACCACCTCGGGCATATTCTGAGTAGTTTATTGAAGATAACAGTCTTACAGACTTTTCTGCCCAGATTGGCTTCAAACCACAATTGTCAGATCTCAGCCTCCTGAGTAGCCATGATTACAGGCATGAGCCACAAGCGCGTGGCTCACAGTTTTTAAATATAAAGATTTTGCATAGTAATTTTTATTATACTTTACAGATTATGTTATAGCTACAAAGTCTTGTACTCCCTAAGTTTTCAGCAAATCAACATGTATCTTATGAAGGTATTATAAAAATATGAAGTATTTAAATATATTCAATAAAATAACAAATACATGTCTTGGTGGTATGATTTTAAATGGCAATTTATTTTTTAATCATATTTTGATACAAACATATAAAATTATATAAACATAAATAACAAGACACATGGATATAAACAAAACTCCTTCATATTAAAATAAAAAGTAGGGGCTAGGAAGGTGGCTCAATGGTAGAGTGTTTGCCTTGTATGTATGAGGCCCTGGGTTCGATTCCTCAGCACCTCATAAACAGAAAAAGCCAGAAGTGGCCCTGTGGCTCAAGTGGTAGAGTTGTTGCCTTGAGCTGAAGAACTGAGGGACAGCGTCCAGGCCCAGTTCAAGCCCCACAATGGATAAATAAATAAAAAGTAAAAATGAGGCATTTGTATCCATTGTATGGTGCTACATGTTGTAGAAATGCCAATGGACTGATCCACCACAGGCAATAGTCCAAGTTTATGTAGTCATCAAGGAAAGAGATTCCATCCAAGTGGAAGGAAAGCAATTCAGAAATCAAATAACTACATTCATTTAGAATAAATTTAGGACAATTAAATCAGAGAATTTCTGTATTATAGAAATGTTATGTAATAACATTTTTCTTGAAGTATAGGAGAAATGAAATGGTTTAATTTCAACCAAAAAACTAAAATGTAAATTTAGAGAAATCATATAACAAATCTTATATAAATGCTAAAATACTATTTTTTCTCATTTTTCTGTAGCAGCTACTTTAGTCTAAACACAACTCAAGTAGGTTATATTAACAAGATAATTCATTATACCTAAGGCTTAACATTACAATCTTCATAGTTACATTAAAATAATACTAATATATAAATATGGGTAGACAGTTTCTCACCTCGTCTTCCTTCAAACACATCATTGATTTCTCTCAGCAGTGTTGACATGTCACTAATTTGAGATTCCCAAGCTTCACAAAATACGTCTAGGTTCTCCTTAGCAATTTTGCTAGACAGATGCAATGTCAATGTCTCAGCAGCAGAAATTATCTAAAACACACATATAAATATAAAACACACAGTCCTCAGAATCACAGTAGAGACAAAACTTAAGTCTGCAGTGTTGCATTCAATTAAAAAAATAACAATCAAGAAGTGATTTCCACACTGAAGTCCCATGTTGGGTAACATGGAGACACAGAACAAAATCTATATTCCTTATAATCTGACCTATAACAGGTGTGTGTTATATAAATCTTCATTCAAGCACTTTATTCAAGGAAAACACAGTTTCACTAGTTATTTCCACAGCATAATTCATCCTCAGCCTATAAACAGTAGAAGAGGTTGTAGTAAGGGTAGTAGTGGAAGTAGTAATGAATGGCAGATAGCAGTAAAAGTAGTAATAATGTTTCATAACTATAAGAACATGGTAGATATATGCTTGAGATACCATGTCAAATGCTTGATAGAAAATAATTCTCAAAAACAGCAATAAAGCTGGGTGCCAGTGGCTCATGCCTATAAGCTTAGCTACTCAGGAGGCTAAGAAATGAAGATCATGGTTCAAAGCCAGCCTGGGCAGGAAAGTTCATGAGACTCTTATCTCTAATTAACAACCAGAAAATCGGAAGTGGTGGTAGAGTGCTATTAGCCTTGGGTGAAAAAGCTCAGAGACAGCACCCAGGCCCTCAGTTCAGGCCCAGGACAGAGGAGACAGAGACAGAGAGAGACAGAGAGAGAGAAGAACAAGAACAAGGAGAAGAACAAGAAGAAGAACAAGAAGAACAAGAACAAGAAGAGAGAAGTGCAAAAAATGCTAGCTTCTCAAATAAGTACTATTCTCATTTTGCACCTGCCAAAACTGAATCTCAGAAATGCTAAGGAGCTTGCCCAAGATACTTGGATAAGTAGTATATGCAAAGCTGGCATCTAAACTCAGATCTACCCAGCTGAGAGTCTATACTCTTTACCATGTCACATTGACTCTCACATAGTACACGTGAAGTAATCATCCTGACGCTTGTAAATATCACCAGATATTTACCAGATAGGCTAAATAGATACACTGAATAAACTGAAAGAATTGTGGCAAGGGACTGCTATGTTTTCATCAAAATCTGTTTAGTCTTCCTGGACACACAGCAAGATTGTATTCCCCAGCCTCCTGAGAAGCGGGGTATGGCTGTGTGACTGAGTTCTGTCCATTTGACTGTGGGCCATCACTTCCATGCACACCTCCCTCATGCTCCTCCTCAGTGTTCCCCCCCAATTCCATGCATAGGATTCAACAGGGATTCTCAAGTTCTAGGGAACTGGCAAGCCACAAGATGGGAGGAGCCTGGATCACCAAGATGAAGGAAGTCATGACACCAGACTTCAAATAAATGAGAAATCCATTGTCACCAACTAGGACTTCATATAAATGAAATCACTTGCTATTGGATTAAGTCACTGAGATTTACAGGCTTCAGGTTTTAGCACAAAGATATGCTAGTTAAAACTCAGGACCTCATCTGGGCATGTGAGTAGCAGCTCCTTTCCCTCCCACTGCTTTCACCCCCATTCATGACAGACTCTGATTGTGTCTGGTTGTGAGGTTTATAGACAGGGCTATTAATTATATCAAGCATGTGTCGATAAATATTCACAAAATCACTTTAGGTGGTAATGAGAGAGAGAGAGAGAATCCCACTAACACTCTAGTAGGAGTTTAGAACAATACAAAGTATACAAGTAAAGTAACTGTAAAAGATGGTAGTGCTATGAGGGAAATTAATATGACAGTGCAATATAGATGTAGCAGCATTACTAATGGGTGATGGAATGTCTCTATTATATAGGAGTACTCACACTCACATAAATATGCATGTTTGCAAGTGGTAAATATATAGTCATTCACCCATGTTCCTGGGGCTGGGGAAACAGCTGTGAATGAGACAGATAAATGACTGTTTTCATGAGGCTCACTTTATAATAAAGGGAGACCAACAATTTTAAAATATATAATTATGCTGAGTACTGGTTACTCACACCTGTAATCCTAACTACTCAGGAGGGTGAGATTTGAAGCCCGCCTGCGCAGGGAAGTCAATGGGGCATCTTATCTCAAATTAACCACCTTAAAAGATGGAAATGGTGAGCCAGCTGCTGGTGGCTCATGCCTCAGGAGGCTGAGATCTGAGGATCATGGTTCAAAGCCATCCCAGGCAGGAAAGTCTATGAGACTTTTATATCCAATAACCCACTCCAAAAACCAGAAGTGGCACTGTGGCTCAAGTGGTAGAGGGCTAGCCTTGAGCTGAAAAGCTGAGGGACAGCCCAGGCCCAGAGTTCAAGCCCCACAACTGGAAAAAAAAAAAAAGAGGAAAGTGGTAAAATAACAACAACAACAACAATAATAATAATAATCCAGTGGTAGAATGCTAGCCTCAAGCACAAAAAGTGGGTGATATTGCCTAGGCCCTGAGTTCAATAAAGAAAGAAACAAAGAAAGAATACTTACATATATATATATACATACACAAATAAACAATATATAATTGGAACATAAGATAATTTTGAAAGGAAGAAATGATGTGCATACAAATAAGGGTAAGAAGGATGGCAGTATTCACAGAATTTTAAGTTAGGAGGAAATCTAGGGAAAGCTCTTGGCATATGGCATAAGACTCAAATACAGTGTTTCTGAAGTAAGTGTGTACCGGAGGCAAGTGGACAGGCCAATGCTGAAGCCTTGGCTGCTCCTAGTAAACAGAGATCCTCTGCAGATTATCACTATACAAGTTCTCTAACACAGCTCCTGCTTCCATAGTGTCTAGTTTCCTTTCTGTGAGGTCAACTGTACACCAGGGATCCAAAGGTGCAACCTCTATCATAAGAATAAAATTGAAACTTAAAAACAGTCCTTTTGGTTGGCCATAATAAATACAACAAGAACGCTGGAGAGACGCACTTCAGAGCTTAAGATCTAAAACAGAAAGGACAATATGTTCTTCACTTTTTCCCTTAAATTATATTTGTCAAGGCTAGTATTCAACAGGACATCAGTTTTAAAAGGCTTGTGAAAATTACAGAGACAAAGTAATACTACAGAAAATTCAGGGGAAAAAAATCTTTATCAACTAAGGAAACAATTTTTATTTCTGCATATTCCCATATAATCACCTTGTAGGGTAGCAATTCTAGTATATACACAAATCTGTATGCTGCTTGTTTTACTTAACATTTTAACAACATTATCAACACCTATAATTCTAGTTATCATAATTTGCCTAATTTAAGAAAATGTCACGACATTATTTTATTTTTTAATATTCTTCTGTCCTTAGGAATTATTAGGTCAGAAATATGTGAATATTTTTATGGCTTGTTACATAATGATACTTTATTTTCAAACACACTACAATTTCATTTTAAAGAGCTTTGTTTCGAATAGATATAAACCTAAGATGTTCTAGATGGACCAATCTCTAGTCTGGCAGAAAACTAGATAATGCCAGGGAATGTCAGTCATGTGCCAGCATATTACTAACAAAAATACTATTATCTTTCTTCTCAGTAGATTTAACTTTGTTATGCAGAACCCTAACTTCCTCCCTCACCATCTATGATGACTGTCAAATAAGAAATAATATAGAGGAATAACCTGCCATCATCATACCTGTTGGCCAGTTACTTGAAATGTCTCTTCCGCATGTAAACATGTTATTTCAAGAGGTTCTGTCCCAGATACATGTCTTAATAATCGGCAGGTCTACAAAAAAAGCATATATATAGTTTAATTTGTACACTCTCGTCTTTCAGAGTACATAGGATCACTTCATAATTTAAAATAAATTTACATTCTACAAATAAAATGTAGTAAAATTGATTGGATTTGTATACTACATGATTAGTATACTGCATTGCCATAAAATATTTTTATGATAAAAAGCAGAAATAAAAGTATAGGGTAGGGCTGGGAAGGTGGCTCAGTGGTAGAGTGCTTGCCTTGCATGCTCAAGGCCCTGGGTTCGATTCCTCAGCACCACATAAGCAAAAAGAAAAAAGCCGGAAGAGGCGCTGTGGCTCAAGTGGTAGAGCGCTAGCCTTGAGCTGAAGAGCTGAGGGACAGCGCCCAGGCCCAGAGTTCAGGCCCCACGACCGGACCCTCCCCCCCCCCAAAAAAAGTATAGGATATTGCTTTTATTTCCTATTTGATCACAGCAAAGTGGTTACAGAAAGTTAATTAGCACCAGCAGGAATTTTTTTTTTTCCTGGTCCTGAGGCTTGAACTCTGGGCCTGGGCACTGTCCCTCAGCTCTTCAGCTCAAGGCGAGCGTTCTACCACTTGAGCTACAGTTCCACTTCCAGTTTTCTAGTGGTTTATTGGAGATAGGAGTCTCACGGTCTCTCCTACCCGGGCTGGCTTTGAACCGCAATCCTCAGATCTCAGCCTCCTGAGTAGTTAGGATTACAGGTGTGAGCCACTGGAGCCCAGTGTTGAGCTTTTTTTGCTCAAGGCGAGTCTCTACACTTGAGCCACAGCTCCACTTCCCGGTTTTGTGAGTATTTTATTGGAGATAAGAATCTCATGGAGTTTCCTGTCCAGGCTGGCTTCGAACCACGATCTTCAGATCTCAGCCTTCTGTGTAGCTAGGATTACAAGCATGAGCAACCAATTCAAGACCAAAAGGAATTTTTAAAGGACTGAGTGGTATGCATGAAGTCTGTATGAAGAAATCTGGCTCAGAAAAGCCACTAATATAGCTAAGTTACTGTAACTTACACAACCTTTTTATCAACAAGTAATACTTCCCATCATGATCAGTTAAACACACTTCTATTCTTAAGAGTTAACAATGGGCTAGAAAGAGTGGGATAATAAGAAAAAAAGCCTCCAACACAGGAAATTATTGAAAACCCTGAAGCTGAATATGAAAACATTTTAAAATCTTGTTTTACTATTAAAAGAGAATTTCTACAGAATTCCTAAAATTAGCAAGTTTCCCTACAGTCATAATATTTGGCTTATGCATGTAATAAGATAAAATCTTTCAACAGAACCATGCCTACAGTCACTTAAGGAATGTTCTTCAGGGGCTGAGAAGTTGGCTCAGTGGTAGAGTGCTTGCCTCGCATGCATGAGGCCTTGAGTTCGATTCCTCAGTACCACATAAGCAGAGAAAAGCTGGAAGTGGTGCTATGGCTCAAGTGATAGGGCGCTATCCTTGAGCTGAAGAACTGAGGGACAGCACCCAGACCCAGAGTTCAGCCCCCACAACTGACTAAATAAGTAAATAAAAATTTTAAAAATGATTTTTAAAAAGAATGTTTTTCAGACTTTCTAGGCTGCTATGTAACAAGTAAAGGATAACAAGCTAGTCCTAATGATCTAAAGAGTATGTGTGAGCTTGCACATGCGTTGGCTAGGGATACCTTATACATACACAAGTATACATGGCTTATGGTTAGTTTCTCAAAACTAGAAGACATCCAGGATTTTCATTAGGCAGCAAACTCAGAACACCAACAAGGCAAACTGAATTTACAAAGAAAGTGACAGCTGGAACACAGGTAATACAAAACAGATTGGAGCAAAGAAGAAATGGTGGGCTAGAGTCTACCTTCCTCCCTCCCTTCTTTCCTTCCTTCCTTTCCTCCTTCCTTCTTTCCTTTCTTCCTTATCCAATTTCCTCCCTTCTCAAAAACACTTTTTGACCTGGGAGACTGACCTATGTTTTACACATCACAAGGACGTAAGTCCAAACTCTGCTGAAGTTTGACCTCAGAGGAGAGAAGTGAGGAGGGAAGGGGCCTTTATTCCTTGTTCTTTCCCTGCAGGGTCACCTTAGGCTCTCTGTGTGCCCAGGCCCAGATCCACAGCCTCTTAAGGGAATTCTCAAACAGATTTCCAGGTCTTAACTCCTCTGTTAATTTGGACACAGCTATGTTATCATTAGCCCCAACTACTGCATGTTACTCAATGTTTTCCCACATTCTCTTTAGGTAGTTGTGACCCATTCACTTACTATACCTTCTTCAGATCATTCTAATGTGAGTACCTTTTCTGTCTGAACAGATCCAGGCAGAAACAAACTGATACAATGTACCTCCACTGTTTTACCCCAAAGTCTAGTCTTTCAATGAGGATAAAGATTAAGAAATGCATTTGTGGGTTCTAACACTGTGTTATTGTTGTGTTTAAATCACACAAATTGTTGTGTGGTTAAATCATACACTTTTTTAAATAAGTTTTTTATTGTAAATATAGTGTACAGAGGGGTTACAGTTATGTGAGTAAGGTAATGAGTACATTTCCTATCAAGCATTGTTACCTCCTCCTTTGTTTTTCCCCTATACTATCTCTTTAAAATAGCAAAGGAGAGAGAAAAATGTTTAGATAAATTAACCAAAAACTGCCTTGTCCTAACAGTCCCTCATGATACTTTATTATGAACTACAATTTCTTTAGCAAGCAATCATATTACTCACCTCAATGAGCTGTTCTTTCTGTTCAGAGAGTTTACTCGCATATTCAGCCAAAGCCTCTAAATTTCCTTCTACTCCAGTAAGTTTTAATTCTTTTAAGACCACATGATCAGCATGGTATTTTAATAGATCCGCTGCCAGCTGCATGGCTGTACTATGAAGCTGCAGATTGGGGGTGAAGGGTGATGGAAGACAGAAAAAAAAAAATAAGATTTTGTGGCCAAGCACATGAAAAGCTGTATTAAGAACTATAGAATGGAAGTCGCCAAAGCAGCCCCACTTGATCAGCTATAACCTCTCCCCTGGTTAAAACTGTGTAGTACTGACAACCCTATCAGTCCTCCCAAGGGCAGGGCCATGTCTATTCATCTCTGAATCCCCTGGAACCAGCAGTACTGCTGTGTATAGATGACCTAGTCATCAAGCTCTTTCCCACATAGCTTCTCTCTTAGTTAAGAATGTTTCTGCTACTCGTAAATTTGGTGGGGAATGGAACAATATTAAGAGTACAATATTCAGATCACTAAAAGGAAAGTGATATTGACATTTCTGATCATTAAGAGGTTTTAAGCTAGATATCAGTGGCTCCCACCTATAATCCTAACTACTCAAGAGACTGAGGATCATGAGTCAAAACCAGCCTGGGCAGAAAAATCCATGTAACTCTATCTCTAATTCACTACCAAAAACCTGGAAGTGCTTCCAAAAATTGGAAGAGCACTAGCTTTGCACAAAAAAGTTGGGGGACAATACCCAGGGCCAGAGTTCAAGCCCCAGTACTGGCACATATATCAGAGCCGGAGTTCAAGCCCCAGTACTGGCCATATACAAAAGCAAAAGATGTCTTTAGTATAAGTTTGAAGAGGTATCACTATGAGACTTGGTTAATTGGATATTCAATAAGAGGATACTAAATATCTACATCATGGCAGATACTGTACTAGAATCTAGATATACAAAACAGGTTGGTTACAATCCCTGGCTTCAGGGAATTATAATCTGTCTACCTACAGTTGCTATCCAGAACTCTACTCTCTAAAACAAGTTAGGTCTCAGCAGAAACAACAGTTAAAAGGGTATCCAAGGTTTTATTTCATGTTGAGAGGAATAGATCTTAAACATTCACTCTCATTCAATATCTTTGGGGGTTATTCATCTCTAAATCTTTTGTTGTATTTATTTTATCTAATGATGTGACAGTTACCTAGAAAAAAGATCGCTTTAAAAACAAAAATGTTTTAAGAAAAAAATGTGAATTAAGCCTATTTGAATGAAGCAATTTCTTTTTTCCTGGAAGCAATCAAATGTCAATTCAAATTATAGGATTTTCTACAAAATTAACAATAAGGTTGTCTGCATTCATGCAAACAAGTGGTAATAATTACAGACAGAAACAAAGGCACTGAAACTCACTTTCCTTTAGACACTAAATACCATATAAGAATTGAAAAAGATTTTGTTTAACCAGCAGGGCCTTAGAGAGTACCTACCATCAGTCACCTCTTTATTTGTGCCTATGATACAGTTCTATAGGGACTGAGTGCATTGCCAAAGTCATGTAACTCTTCAAATGGTTCTGGGATAGCTTGTTAATAATTGTGAGAGAAGGGCTGGGAAGGTGGCTCAGTGGTAGAGCGCTTGCCTTGCATACATGAGGCCCTGGGCTTGATTCCTCAGTACCACATAAGCAAAAAGAAAAAAGCCGGAAGTGGTGCTATGGCTCAAGTGGTAGAGCGCTGGCCTTGAGCTGAAGAGCTGAGGGACAGCGCCCAGGCCCAGAGTTCAGGCCCCACAACTGGACCCCCCCCCCCCCAAAAAAAAAAAGAATTGTGAGAGAAGCAGAGAGCAAACACGATGCTTCTGCTCTGTACAACGTCCTGACAGCAGCTTTACATGTATCATCTCACTTAACCCTTATAAAAACTCTTCAAGGATGACATGGCTATACCCATATAAGAGCTAAGAAAATGAAGCTCATGGAAGTCACTGGATCTAGAGGATTTCCACCTGGTTAGTAAAAACTGAATAGGATGAAATAAAATGGGTAGGCTTGTTTTCAGAGCAGAGAAAGCCATATTTTATATATAACAGGATGTTTAAAAATTGAGGTTTCCTGCTTTCACTATATTTGATGTCAGTATAACTTGGGGAGGAGATGGAGAAAAACCAGTTGTTTAGGGATACAGGTGGACCTGTTGCAACAATGAGAAGTACAAGTTGTCATGTCCAAAACGAGCTTTACAACGTTGGTGCGGGGGTGGGGGGGGAGGGAAGGGGAGGGAAGGAGAAGGATTGGGATTGGGGGGGAGGGGGGAGGCTGGGAAGGGATGTGAAGGGTAAACCAAAGGAGGAGGCTGCAATGCTTGGTAAGAAATGTACGCATTATCCTGCCCATGTAATTGTAACCCCTCTGTACAGTCTGTTCACAAATAAAATTAAATTAAATTAAAAAAAATTGAGGTTTCAACAGAGGTGTCAGCTCCAAGTTAAGATGTAAAACAGATTACCAAGTATATAATATATAAAAGAAATATCCAAGACCTTTCATTCTGTTGGGTCATGACACACTTCACAAATATCAAAGAATCATTAAATTAGAGATATAAGAGAAGAGAGGTTATTGTAAGGATCTGTCTAGAGAGCCGACGGGAGCTCATCAGGAACCTCCCCTGCCCCCCAAGGTGGAGGGAGCAATATGACATGACAATGTTATTATTGGGGCCAAAAGACACATGGGAACCTCTGACAAACACACTAAAGCATCTGTGAGAGAGAAAGCCTTAAATGACTATTGAGCCCAAAGCCACTTTACAAGGGCACCAGTCACCAAGAACTCCGCCCCTCCCCCTCCAATTTTCTATCTTCTTCCTGTGTTACAACCTGGCAAAAATAAATAATAGCAGCTATATCATGGGAGATGAAGGGTTAAAAAGAAAGAGACCACATCACCCTAAAAGTTCTAGGTGGGGCTGGAGAGAAGGAAATAGTCAAGTCCTACAACTGAATGAGGTAAGATATACTGATGAGTACATTTGCAGTGAACACTCTGATTTCTGTACTGAGATTGTGTTTTATGACTGAAAGAAGGGATTGGTGAGCATTTCCTCTAAAGAGCCAAGAAAGCAAGTATTTCAGGCTTTGCAAGCTACACGGGCTCCACTACAACCAGCTAACTATGTTACAGACAGCAAACAGGACACAATATATACATATATGGGCAAGATGTGTTCCAAAACACTACTTATGAGAAGAGTCCACTGATTATATATAAATAAACCCCTATATGACTTTCAATTCTCTGCATGGCCTTGTACTTGCTAGGCTGGAGCTACTACTAAGCAATAGCTCCTGCCTTAGTTTTCACTAGTTAATTTTGGATAGGGTCTCACTTTTTATTTGGCACACATCTCAAGGATAATTTGCCTACTTTAGGCTCCCCATAGTTTCACACAGCATGCCCTGCTTCCTTCTGTGGAGGGAGAGTCTCAGACTGTGCTGATCCTCCTAATATGACCCTTCCACATATCTTGAGATGATAGGCATAAACCACTGCACTTGGCTATGGATTAAGGAAGGGTCTCTCAAATTTGTCTGTATGGGTTGGCCTTGAACCACACAATCTTTCCAATCTCAGACTCCCAAATAACTGGCTAGAATTAAAGGTATGTATCTCTTGTGTCTAGCTTACAATCAATATTTTGAACTTTTCTATTATTTCCCCAAACCTCCACACCCTCTCTGAAGTAAAAATCCACTCATTTCTGCCCCCTAGAAACCACAGATATGATTTGTGGCATTGAATTTGTTTTGACTTGTCCAGAATTTTTCTAAATGGACATAATATAAATAGGTAGGTAGGTAGACAGACAGACAGGCAGACAGACACATATTTTTGTGCCTGGCTTTTCTTTCAGCTTAATGTTTTCAGTGATTCATCCATATTGTCAAATATATTAATACTGTCCCTTTTTACTGCTAAATAGTATTTGGTAGTTATTCCAAAGCCATTTATCAATATTCCTCTTGATTAAACTTAAATTGCTTCCAGATATTAGCTGTTATAATAAAACTGAGAGAGAGAGAAAGAGAGAAAGAGAAAGAAAGTATAAGCTTTAAGAATTCAGCAACTAAAATACTTAGCTTCAACTAACAATGCCAGAAGGAACCTTTTAAACCATTTTCTAGGCTCAGGGACAGGCTAACATCCATCTATTTCACACATTTCACATAACATGAAAATTAGAAATGAATTGTCTGAGGCTGGATTTCACAACATACTTACTTCTTTCTTAAGTTCATTGAGACTGTGACTTATTTTCAAAATACTGAGTTCCAGTTCTTCAGCAATGCTTTTTGTTTTCTTGCTTTGCTAAAAAATTTTAAATGGTATATATTTAGGGTTAACTTATCTCTTAAATGTTATTCTAATTTTACATAAACTATAAATTATAATAAACTTTAGTAACATAACTGCTTTTTAAAGTAAAGAGTAGAAAATAGGATTCTGGTTAATCATTGCACCTTCCCAAACTGTAAAAAGTTGATTTAATTTTTTTTTTTTTTTGTCGGCCATGGGGCTTGAACTCTGGGCCTGGGCGCTGTCCCTCAGCTCTTCAGCTCAAGGCGAGCACTCTACCACTTGAGCTACAGCACCACTTCTGGTTTTCTGGTGATTTATTGGAGATAGGAGTCTCACGGTCTCTCCTGCCCGGGCTGGCTTTGAACCGTGATCCTCAGTTCTCAGCCTCCTGAGTAGCTACGATTACAGGTGTGAGTGACCAGTGCCCGGCAAGTTGATTTAATTTTAATCAATACATTTTTATGTAAGGAATTTCACGTTGTGCTTCTTTCTCTGTTCATAGTTCCTCTAAAGCTGAAGTTCAAGATTTCTCCTTAAGTCTGTCTTTAAAATAATTGTTACTTAATTCAGCCCAGAATTTTTTTTTTTTTTTGGTCGGTCGTGGGGCTTGAACTCTGGGCCTGGGCGCTGTCCCTCAGCTCTTCAGCTCAAGGCAAGCACTCTACCACTTGAGCTACAGTGCCACTTCCGGTTTTCTGGTGGTTTATTGGAGATAGGAGTCTCACTGTCTCTCCTGCCCGGGCTGGCTTTGAACTGAGATCCTCAGATCTCAGCCTCCTAGGTAGCTAGGATTACAGGCGTGAGCCACCAGCGCCCGGCTTTTTCAGCCCAGAATTATTTTATTTGGGCTTCTTCTATCTCCATTTGAATTATAGATACATTGATGACAACTTCAAAGATCTACATCTGAGATCTCTGGAATCTAATTTCTTTAAGCAGTTTATGTCAGGATCACACACAGGGTAGATACATCTGCCTGGTTCTCAACCAATGATGGCCCTCTTCTGTAAATATGGATGAGTTCAGAATGTATTCATCCCCACCACACTCAGAAATAATAGAGAATTATGGGATATGCCAATACCTAAGATACAAAAGCATTCATAGGTCTTTCTATTACATAAACTGTCTTGTAGTTGCTTCCCACAGATCTAAGGCATAGTCTTATGAATAAAATAAACCACAATGATTGTATGAGCTGCATCCAATAATGTATGGCTATAAACTGTCTATTGGGATAAGCCTCAACTAAACAGATGAATTTTTAAAACCTATTTTTTTAAAGTAAGTTAATCATGTCTGAAATTTATCTCTTTTATTTTCTGTCTGGACTGTTCATCCCTTCACTATTAACACAGTTAAAACACAAAATTCCATTTGTCATTAGGACATTACATAAATGTCTGTTTCTCACAAAGGCCAGCTCAGATCACTTAATCTAAGTTAAATCCTCTCTTAATCCACTCAATTTTTTTTCTCTAAGTAACCATCCAAGTTTGCTATTGCATATTCATTTTTGAATTTTTACTTTTTGTCTGTTTCAAGCTGCCTTCCCTGTTAGACATATGGGTGGCCCGTGAATATTGGGGTTACATCTGATTTGCTCCACTTGAATCCATATAGTGCATGGCATAGAATGCAGCAGGTAGCAAGTATTCAGTTCTCTGTGTGAGTAAATCAAAGTGAAATGCCAGAACTTTATGAAGTATACTTGATTCCTCGCTCTAAATGTGTCCCCACTTTCAAACTCTCTCAACACATGACCTACACCTTATCTCCTTTCCTTCTTTCCTTCCTTCCTTCTTTCCTTCCTTCTTTCCTTTCTTTCTCCTTCCTTCCCTTTTTTCTTTCCTTTCTTCCTGTCTTTTCCTTCCTTCCCCCTTCTCTCCTTCTCTCTCTCCCTCTCTCTTTCCCTCTCTGTCTCCCACCCCCATGTCTCACCTCTACGTAGACTTTTCTACATTGTAAAATAATTCAAGGGAATGACTTTTTATCTGATTCAGCTTTATATTTCTAGGGCCTGGCATATAAAAGATACTCAGTATCAACTGTTGGGGGAAAAGTGGATGAAAAGTCCATTTGGCAAACAGAACTCGAGATTTGAGTGCTTGTGAAGGATGGTGTTGCAAGTTGAAGTACTGATAGAATCAGACTCCCAACATAACACTCCATCATAAGGAACTCAATACTCAATGTTAGCTTAAAATTTAACACTGAGCCAATTTATTCTTCAGACATACTATCACACAGATAATGCAAATTATGCACAGTTCTTTTATACCACTCTCCCCTAGGGCAAGATTCCCCATCAGAATGAGCACTTGCCCTGTTCTAATGTCATTACAATATCTGAGACATCTATGATTCATATCTATTCCTCATTGATATCAGGTTAGTTACCAGGAAGTAAACTGCTGCTTCCCTCTTCAAAACTTCAACCACAAACACGTTCAGATTTTTTTTCTACCCCTGCTGTGTACTGTAAGCCATGTGAAATACTTTTCTGGCATAGCCTAGGTCAAAGCAGTAAAAGGTGCCAGAGACATGTTTCAGGCTGTCTCCTGTTTATGTACTACTGCTGTGAGATCCCAGAACATGCTTCCCATCATCATTTACCAGTCCTGCCCAAATAGTTTCCCAGATGAACCCCATTTTAGGCTCAAGAAGTGACTTCATCAGTTTAGACTGGGAATCTGTGTAAAGGATAAGTATCTTTCACCTTGTCTTTGTTACATCTAGACCTGAATAAATGTTTTAAAGCACTAAATTAGCTGTCTTCAGAGTTAAAAACTATTCACATCTGAATGGTAGTAAGATTCAGATCATGAGAGCTTCTAATACAGATCTACTTCTCTGCTCTTTACTCTGAAGAAGCATTTTAGAGAGGAATCTTTCAGAAGTGAGTTTGGTGTTAGAATGGGGACAAAAGAGTGATATCGTAACACATAATCCAGCCGGATCATAAGAAGAATCAATAGTGCTAGAAAGGTCAGGTACAGTGAAGATATTTTGGTCAATTGGAAGGAAGAGAAGGGATGATGTATTCTTGTCCCATGCTGGCCAAATTCATACTCCTGGTGAGCTGTGTCAAGATTTATTTTGACAAAAACATTTCTTACAGCTGGGATCCACACAGAAATGAATTGCTGCAGTTCTGTTCTCGCCTGAGTTGACAATTCCAAGATGCGTTCCCTGTGCTCATGGCTGGTATAGGCAGAATCAGTGAAGTCCTCTGTACGTTCCAAAATGATTTCCAAGGTCCCAGAAAGATTTTCTTGGGAATGAAAATAAGGATTCTCCCGAAGAGCATCAATATTCATCTGAGAACGAAAAGGACATACGTCCACATGAGTACTCTTACCTAACCAAAACAGGCTAACAAACCCCAGGAAACCATAGCAATTTCTCTCCCAGGTTGACAGAAAATACAGCCTTCAATGATAACTGCCTTCTACAGTAACCTAGGAGAACAATGCTCAAGAGTCATCAACGGCAATACAAAGTTTCAGTCCACAGTTGTTAATATAATGGCATTTTCCAGGAGAACAGTGAATACCAAGACAGAGAGAGAACCACCACACAGAACTGGAAGGAAAAACAAACCAGCCTCCAGGTAGATGATCTGGACCTGAGAAAATAGCTAGGCAAAGTCCTGAAAGGTATGTTATACCCAAATACAATGTGTGCTGAAAGCTGGTGGGAGTGAGGGTGGAAGGTGTGATAGGTAAAACGGACTAGGAAATACATCTACTTTGACTCAACTATTTCAACAAAAACTGTTCAAGTCACCTGATTAATCTCCTTACATTTTTTTTATGTTCCCAACAGCACCTCACTGATCTAAACATCCTCTACCAGAAGACCTACATAACTTTGATTCTGCCCCATAATCTATACTTAAGTCTTCCCCATCTAAAGAATAAAGCCTTAACTTCTAGCACAAAATCATTCGTGCATGCGCACAAACACACACACACACACACATACACACACACACACACAATATCTAGGTCAGTCTATCTTACCTCATGAGCTCCAATGCAACCTTTTGCTTCAGTCAGTGTTTAGAGTTCCACAAAAATGTAATAAACATGACCACTTATGTACTCTTTCTCTCTCAGCTTTCAAAGATCTGCTTCACTGTTTCAACTTTAACCTCTAGTCCATGAAATATGTGACCCAGGGAAGTTGGATCAAGAGGCAAAAAGCTCACAATGAATGGTCTGACAAGGATAGCTTACATTTTGTTTGCACGTTAAAGTACTGTCACAAATTTTTCAAGTTTACGTATGACCTGTTTCAACATGAACCATGAAAACACCAAAGTTTGCAAAGGCCATCTAGAGAAGTCTGCCACCACTTCTCTTGGCCTAGGTTGCGTCCAATCATCTCTCCATTCTAAGTACTCAGAATGTTTTCTGAGCTAAGAATAAATGTGGATGATAGCTATGGAACGGACAATGAGAATCTGAAAATTCAAGAACTTACATAATGGAACTATAGAAAAGTTAGTTATGTGGATCTCACATCACCACTTATTCTTTTTAGGCTTTTTTGCTTGTTTTTTATTTTCCTTTTAGAGAGAACATATGCATATTTTCAAACAGCAACCAAGAAGAATATTGTGGGTCTTTTTAAGAACTATTCACTTATGCTTTCATAAGTTTTGCTCGTTTATTCAGAGGCATAGCTGAAATTTCATAATCAGAATAAATGGACAGGAACCAAAAGCCCAATTTACAACCCATTGTCTTTTGTCCTTACAAAATGCAAATAATTATGTTCACCTAAAAGGACAGTTAGGCTTTAAACAAGATATTAAATTCATTAAGGGCATAGACCTAAAAATATTGTTTCCATTATTTACCCAGTTCCACCTTTAACCTTCTTCATACAATTAGAAGTCAATGTGTAGTCAGGAGGATAGAAAGAAAACCATCTTGTCTCAGCCCTGCTTGCTAGAGTTGGGTATTGTTTAGCATATTAGATAACTCTCCAGGGCCTTGGCTTTCCCATCTATTAAATGATGGTATTATAATAGATGATTTCCTAGGATCTTCCCTCAAATTTTTCTTTTTTTTTTTTCTTTTTTTTTGGGTCTGGTCGTGGGGCCTGAACTCTGGGCCTGGGCGCTGTCCCTCAGCTCTTCAGCTCAAGGCTAGCGCTCTACCACTTGAGCCACAATGCCACTTCTGGCTTTTTTTTCCCTGCTTATGTGGTGCTGAGGAATAGAACCCAGGGCCTTAGGCATGCAAGGCAAGCGCTCTACCACTGAGCCAACTTCCCAGCCCTTCCCTCAAATTTCTGACTGGAGTCAAACCCCAACCATTTCTTAGCCAGAAAGCTACTTTCAACTCTGTCTCTCAGTCACCTCAACAGCACAGTAGTTCTTATGAGGGTTATATGAGCTCACGTGTTCAAAGTACTCAGATCAGGGAGGGCACAGAGTAAGGACTCAAAAATGTTAGTGTGGCTAACATTGAGCTGGTGGCTCATACCTCTAATCCTAGACAATCATGAGGCTAAACTCTGAGGATCATGGTTTGAAGCCAGGTCAGGCAGGAAAGTCTGAGACTTTTATCTCCAATAAAGCACCAAAAAAAACCAAGTGGAGATGTAGTTCAAAGTAGTAGAGCACTAGCCTTTTTATTTTTAAGTTGTAATTGTTGTTTATGCTATTATTATTGCTACAGTCTCCAACTATCACCCCTCTACTACAAGCCAGAGCAGGAATTCTAAAAGAAATGATTTACTGCTTATATGGCACTATTCAATAACATGAGAAGGAAACATTCTTCTAGACAGGAGGCTACAAACAAACCATAGAGTCAAAAGAGCCAGAGTAGCTACTATTAGCAAAGACTAGTATTCTTTATGAATATAACACTAAGTCAAAATTACTGAACATTATGTTTGTTTATAGTGTGGCATTGCTTTTAAGAGATTTATCGGTTTTTGTGAAGCATCATTCTTCATCATTATACAAAAATATGGACACTCCATATAATAACACTCCCTTAAAATGGCAAGAAAAGCATCAAAATATATTCAATCCTTACCTTGAACTCTCTAATGCCAGTAAATATACTGATTGATGATATATCCATCTCTCCACTTGGCTTACTGTCAGTCACAATCTCAATGACCTTATCCAACGCCACTTTCATTCGGTCAAACACTCCTTCTTTGTTTTTATGGGCTGATTCACAGTTGGGATGCCTGAGACACGTCTTCAAAACAATTGAGGGGTTTTTTTTTGAATTTTAGTATTTGACCCATATAGCATTACATAAAATCTTACAGAGAACATGTCATGCTAATAAAAATGGTTCTTTACCCAAATCTCCTGGATCCCTGGCTCCCCCAGCTGCCTCTCCTCACTAAAGCGGAAGCAGGATGAGTAAAAAGCGATAGCAAGGTTAAGTGAAAAAACGCAGAGCAAAACCGTATCTGTATAGTATAATATTACGTTTATGTAAACATGACTATTCAGCATGGCTAAAATTAATTAATTATTTATTTAGGGACTGTGGATTGAACTCAGGGCCTCATGCTTGTTTGGCTAGAACTCTGTCACTTGAGTCATGCCTCCAGCCCAGCTCTTTGTGCTGTTTGGAAATGAAGGCTAGTGGATTTTTTTTTTTTTTTTTGGTTCAGGCTGGCCCTGAACTGCCATCCTTGAAATTGCAGCCTTCTGAACAGCTAGAATTACAAAGGGGAGCCACTAGTGCCTGGCATGCCTCATACATGTATAAAGTTTAAAAGAAGAAGGAAAAAGTGCACAAGATGATATATAATTATGACTGCTGCACCTTTGAGTTAAAATAAAAACCACTCAAAACTATCCAATGGACTACATAGAAACACGGGTTTCTATGAAGTCTCTGCTTTTATGGATGCATTGATTCTAGCAGAGAAGTAAATGATCTCAGGTAAATGTTCTAAACAAATGGCTAGTGACACATTTACTAATTCATTCTTGAATTGTATAAATTTGCTGACCAACAGCTGTTTGAAAATATAAGCTCTTGATTAATAATTTTGTAAAAATAGAAAACGAAACTAGAGGTTAGAATTTATTGACCGAAATGCACACCCCACAGTTAATTTAGCTAATCCTAACTTACCCAGCTCTTTCTAGTGAAAGTACACTAGCTCCTTGGGGGAATTAGCAAAGCCTACAGGGAGTGACCAAGACTGATAGATATGTCCTCACAGCACCTGCTTTACCCTGTCTGCCTAGATGCTAAATCAAAGTTCCTCGTAGACTCATTATTGTGTAAAACTAGGGAAGAAAGTTTAGCATTCTTGCAAATAACTGAGGTTTGACTCTTTAGGCCTAGGCTCTTAGTTACTACTTTAATCTCTTTAAAAATGTAAAGTGCATAAACTAGATGCTTTTGATCAGGTCCTCTAATCATCAATTTACAACACAGTAAAACAGAACCCTTCTTACCTTTGAAGCAGTTAGAAGCATCATTGTACCCTTTTCAAGAACTGCCCTAGCTGCTGCCATTCTTGCTTTTCTCTTTTCATCTTTCAAATCCTTTAAATAAAATAAAATGATTGAGTAGTCTATGATCACATAAGCAACCCTATTCTTTGAAAAATCAAATTTATTCATTAACAATACCCCAAAATTTAGAAACACTCTTAAATGAAGATAAAAAAGAACATGGGATAGTTTTAGACACTGTCACTGCTTCAATTTACGTAATGATACCTAAATTCTAAGATATCTATATTCTAAGAATGCTATGTTAATTTAGTTCATTTAGCTGAACCCTGGTAAAGTCAAATGGAAAGGTTTATAAAAGAGAAAGGACTTGAATTGGGCTTTCCAGACAAGTATTCCCACTGGAAGCATATTTAAGTGTTACATGTGGACCAAAAAAAAAAAAAAAAGACCTATTAGTCTGTACGCTGGCTTGTAAGACCAAGGTTATAAGCAAAATACCCAAACCAAGTGATTGGAAAAATAATCACACCTTCATCCAAACTAGAGTATGAATTTATGTAAAGGTTTTACAATGTGGAAGATACATACATTCTGTCTATCTCCAGTTAGATGTGCAAACTCCACCATCTCATTGCCAAACTGACTGAAAATTTGGACAAACTCTTGAAAGCTATTTACTTTTTCTAGTCTTTCCATCGTTGCGAGAACCTGCAAAACACAGGATATCTTATTATTAGGTGGCAGAGAGGAAAGAGACTGAGACTTTCAAGCCTGAGTAGAATGAATGAAAAGGGGAAATTCTAAAAGCTGAAGGAAAGCTGAAGAGGAGACAGAAAAGACGCAGGAGAGGGCCAGAGAAGTGGAATCTGGTTCAAAGATTTAAAATATTAAAGGATTGATTTGATTTAGGGTTAGGAAGGTTAAGCTTACTTGAAAATTAAAAGAAAAAAATTTCAAAATGATTCAATAAATGATCAAAATGATTCAAAATTAGGATCATTTTTGCAGTCAAGTCTAAAGAAGGAGGGAATGTGTAGGCCATGCTATGGTTGGATATGATCTGAGTGCGTCCCCACAGATTCTTGTCCTGGAAGCTTGGTCCCTCATGTTGATGTGAGGAGTGGGGGGGCCTGCTAAAAGGTGGTTAAGTTACTGGAGGTATTGCTTTGAGAAGAATTAATGTAGTCCTCGTGCAACCCCTTGACAGTGGACTGTTATTAAAGACCATACTGGCCCTTCTACATTCTCTGGCTGTTTTCTTTTTTTGGTTGGTCATGGGGCTTGAACTCTGGGCCTGAGCACTGTCCCTCAGCTCTTCAGCTCAAGGCTAGCACTCTACCACTTGAGCTACGGTGCCACTTCTGGTTTTTTGGTGGTTTATTGGAGATAAGAGTTTCACGGACTTTCCTGTCCAGGATGGCTTTGAACTGTGATCCTCAGATCTCAGCCTCCTGAGTAGCTAGGATTACAGGCATGAGCCACCAGCACCCGCCCTGCAAGGCTTTTGGTCTTATCATGTGATCTTTCTCCCTTGTATTATCATGGTGATATCATCTACCATAAAGCTCCTGCTAGAGGCTGAGCAGATGAGGGTGCCTAATCTTGGAAAGTCAGCCTCTAAAAGTAAACTAAAGAAGTATCTCCTTTATAAGTACCTAGCCTTAGGAATTTTGTTACAGAAACAGAAGACTGGATAATGTAGCAATTAAATCTACACTGACTAAGAAGGCAGAGAGGGGATAAACACACACACACACACACACACACACACACACACACACACACACACACACACACACACACACACACTTCAAAGACCCAGGATCAAAGGAAAGAATCGGAATCTTCTGAGGAAAAAGCAATTAAATCTACACTGACTAAGAAGGCAGAGAGGGGATACACACACACACACACACACACACACACACACACACACACTTCAAAGACCCAGGATCACACACACACACACACACACACACACACACACACACACACACACACACTTCAAAGACCCAGGATCAAAGGAAAGAATCGGAATCTTCTGAGGAAAATGGGAGGAAGGTCACCCAAAGAATGAGGAGTGAAAATGGAAGTTTACAATTTAAAAACAGGAAAACATTTTGAATCAGTCAGGGACTGCCTATGTTCAGTAAACTAATTACCAAGAAGCTCCAGACAGTAGGAGTTGGATAGGGTATGAATCTGTACAAGAGTAATTTTGTATTTACTTGACATAAAAAAATAAATAGGCATGAAACATTTTCAAATACTTTTCTCTAAAATTAATACAGTACTGTATGTATTAAGTAAAACAGAAAGGTTTAAAAAAAACACAGATATCCTGTGTTTAATGAGGAAATGATGGATATTTGGCATATTAACCTGCCCTGGCAGCTCAGGAAGCACAGGCAATTAACACAGATAAGGCAGAGTGCCTTACTGAGCTGAGTCATCACTTTGCAAAAAGAGGAAGTTTGTTTCTTTCCTTTGGCATTACCTGATCCATTGCTCCAATTACTGTTTCTCTTTAAACATATCTTTTTGATTCAGCCAATATTCACCAGGTAGTTCTGTCCTGGAGTCCTATTCCTTCATTGGCTGACTGTCCACCTCTAGCCAGAGGAATCATTTAGGGAAATGTAGGGGCAGGTGCTAGTGGCTCATGCCTGTAATCCTAGCTATTTAGGAGGCTAAGATCTGAGGAGTGACATTCAAAGCGAGCCCAGGCAGGAAAGTCAGTGAGACTCTCATCTCCAATTAACCAGCTAAAAGCCAGAAATGGAAGTATGGCTCAAGTGGTAGATTGCCAGCCTTGAATGAAAAAGTGAGAGCATGAGGCCCTTAGTTTACCCCTAGTATTGGCACAAAAAGAAAGAAAGAAAGAAAGGAAGGAAGGAAGGAAGGAAGGAAGGAAGGAAGGAAGGAAGGAAGGAAGGAAGGAAGGAAGGAAGGAAGGAAGGAAGGAAAGAAAAGGAAAGAAAAAGAAAGAAAGAAAGAAAGAAAGAAAGAAAGAAAGAAAGGAAGGAAGGAAGGAAGAAAAGAAGGAAGGATGCCACGCCGACTCCAGTGGAGTCTGCTTAGCATGGGAAACCATCTATCAGACCAAGATAGGGGCTTCAGAGACCTATCTCTGAGTTTTGGGACTTCACCGAAGTCTACCTCAGAGAATGGGGCTTTACAGAAACCTATCTCCAAGTTTTGGGACTTCACCGAAGTCTACCTTGGAGAATAGGGCTTCTAAGAGGCCTACTCCTGGAAAAAGGCTGGCAACCCCCTGGGAAAGATGTGTTTCTGCCTTTCTTTTCCTCATAAGAGTGCCTATTAATCTTTTACTGTTTCTGCTGTTCATTGTACTTACTCATTGTCAACGTTCCCTTATTCAAAGTTCTTTCTTAAGAGTGTTGACGACTCCAATATCTGATGAGTGTCTTAAAAAATATGACTAACTCACCAGAGTTAAGTGCTACCCTGAAACCCCTCTTATGGAGGCTAGTAGACAAGTTATAAGTAAATATAAAAGTATTGGGGGTTCACGATGTCATTTCAGCAGAAGGAATTGTTTGTAAGAGATTTACAAGAAGCTGTAGGCGCGGCTAGAACAGAAAGAATATATGGCAATTGCGGAGATAACTACTTAGGAGAAAGAACTTCCTGTTACTCTCTTTCATTTACTAAGAGACTTGCTAGATCTAGGACTCCGCGACCTTGCTGTTAAAGAAGGAACAGGAGGGCTGGGAAGGTGGCTCAGTGGTAGAGCGCTTGCCTTGCATGCCTGAGGCCCTGGGTTCGATTCCTCAGCACCACATAAGCAAAAAGAAAAAAGCTGGAAGTGGCGCTGTGGCTCAAGTGGTAGCGTGCTAGCCTTGAGCTGAAGAGCTGAGGGACAGCACCCAGGCCCAGAGTTCAGGCCCCACGACCGGACCAAAAAAAAAAAAAGAAGGAACAGGAAAGATCTTATGGGACAGTTAAGGCCTCTATAGAAATAAGGTAATGGTTAGTTGATGACAAAACATCGAAACCCATTATATTTCTTAGAGATAAGCCGGAAACAAGTGCCTTTCAGGCGACCAGCTGGTGACCACCCAAGAAAGAAGCCCTACAGCAAGGTTGTGTAACCTTTTGCCCTTTCAGGCGACCAGCTGGTGACAGCCCAAGAATGAAGCCCTGCAGCAAGATTATGTAACCTTTTGCCCTTTCTTATGGAGACTTTTGCTATAAAAGTTTGTTATCCTCTGCATTAAATTGCACTCAGCACTCAGCATCCACTCCTAATGTGTGTGAGTTGTCTGTTTGCCATCTCCCCATCCTATTCCAGGTTCCTCCCTTAGGTGTCCTCCGTCGTCCCGACAGAACCCGGTCCACAGCGGAAGGAAGGAAGAAAATCCACTCCTAGATGATCATGGATCAGGATCATCACCTGTAAGACTATAATGCATCTTAGACTTCTGCAATAATGCAGAAATATTTAGGACATTCTACATATAGAAATTTTGTAGCTGGTCATATTATAATGTCAGATGATTTGTTTTAGTCTTAAGCATATACATTGTTGTTCTCTGACTTAGAAAAGAAAGTACAAAGAACTCAGCACTTTTATCTACTAGATTCTACTACACACATTAAAATGGTGCTAGTTCTTCCCAAATGTACACATTTATTAATAAAAATAAATAAGAGCAAGTAGATAATACTTTTCTGAAAAATATTATTTGCCTTCGAAAGTTTAGACCTTGTATACACATAAATTAAGAATAACAAGCATAGATGAAGCACTATCGACGATAATCATTATAAACAATTATACCAGACACACACTGCCAAATTATCTGGAATCAATATACAAAGCACTTTGAACAATTCTGAAAGACAAAAATATAGCAAGCAACATCAACAAAGAAAGTACCTTACTGCGTGATGTTATTATTTGTTTAATGACTACTCGGTCTGCCAACAACAACACCTTTGTCACTGAAGAAAGAAGTAGTCTTGCAGCCTTTATGACTCCTGTTTTGTCTGTAAAAATTGTGACCTGGCCAGCAGATTCTGAATTCATGTTGGATACATCAGTAAGTGCTGCAATTGTTTCTCCTAACAAGAAAGGGAAAAGTTAAAATGGGGCAGAGGGGGAAATCCACTTAAAAAGAAGACTTTTTTCTGATCTTGACTATAACATACATGATCAAGAAAAAGATCTGAAGTCGAATTTCTTTCTCCTTAAAGATTCATATGACATTTGCAAATAACAAAGTAAGAGCACACACTTGAGAATTATGACAAATGGTTGCTTCCACCCAGTTTGAAAAATATAGTTTTCATTTCCAGGGGCATGGCCAACCAACACAAAATCTAAAACTCTCCTGCTCTGCAATACAATAAGACACATCCTAGGAGTCAAAGACCACCAAAAAATCTCAAAGGAAGCAGTAGCAAGGAGCTAAGGCTTGGGCTGGGCTGGGCTGAGGTAGTTAGGAAGAGGTCATTATCAATTGCTACAACCTAAAGATGCTTGGGTATAGAGATATCCAAAGAGAACACAAAGATGAGGCTTTGGGCCCAGGGGTATTTTCAATGAGGAGTCAGGGATGGAAGGAGGCACAGACAATGAGCAAAATCCTGGACTTAGGATGAGGGAAGTAAATAAAACAAAAACGTACCCCTGAGCATTCAAATCTGGGGCTGATCCTCCCTCAGACCCAAGACACAGTATTCTACAAAATGAACTCCCAACCCTGGTAAACTCTCCTTCTCTGTTGGAAACCTTTTGATTTCTACAGCAGCAATTATTCATCAAAAAGTAAAACAAATGTTTGCTTTCCTAAAAGATAAAACCAGGCTAGAAGCTTCCCCAATGCTGCTTACTGTTCCAGTTAATACAAAATGAATAATAATATTTTAGTATTCAATAGAATGTTTAATTCCTAAATAAAACTGTAAGTAATGATTGCTTTTATCACAAAAAACTCAGATTTATTGTATACATAATGTCTTAGCCATTAGGGAAAAGATCTCAAGTAAAAGTATTCGTGTTTTAATGGACAGACTACAGGATCTGAAACAACTAGAGTTAGTATTTAAAAAGATAGTTTGGTGGAAATATGTAGAATGGACTACTGGAAAGGATGGACTTAAAGCCAGGTTTCTATTTCAGTCATGGATGTGACATACTAAGGACTTTGAGGATGGTAGCCATTAGAATATAAGGAATATTATTTGGGAGAAACTGTGCAAAGAAAACATTTTAAAAAACTGAGTATGTAACCAGTGATAAGAAGACTAAAAAGCAGCTTCACCATTGTAAACCTAAGTCACTTTAACCCAATCGTAAGGGCACAGGGAGGAAATGATGTACTTAATGTCAGACTACAGGAATTTTAAATAGCACAGGAATCCAGAACACATAAGCCACTAAATATGGACCAGTGGTGCAGATTTGGACATTGTGTGTATACTAGCAATAGCTAAACTTTACCAAGATGAAAGTGTGTGATTGTCTCCATGATCCTTCCAAAAGAGCTCCACCTACTGGTATTCACATCCTGGGCTGTTCCCTCCTACGTAATAGTAGGGCTGGTATGTCATTTCCAAGACTAAGTTATAAAATCCTGAGGCAGCCACCTTGTTCTCTCTCTGCTTCTGAAAGAAAGTCAACTGCCAGGCCACAGGAAGCCCTTACTACAGACAGGCTGATACGGTGAGGAACAGCCATCAAGGAAGTAAAGCCTTGCCCGCACTATGGGAAGGAGTTTTGAAAGAGTTCCCACAGTCCCCTGAAGCCTTCAGATAACTGAGTCCCAACTGGCACAGTCAGAGGATGCTGTGACCCAGAACTACCCAAGGAAAGCTCTCCAATTCCTGACACTCAGAAACTGCAAATAGACCTCTGGGATCTTATGTTACTAAACTAGGGTCAGACTGTTATGCAACAATACAAAGTTCTATATTACAGTTTTTATGGCAAAACATACAAAAACTCAAGTAGTTAGAACTAAAACTTAATATACACAGAAAGGGGCAGGAAGAAAAGTATGTGTCGCAATAGCTGAAAGAATAAATATTTCCTCTGTTTCACTGGGATGTGTTTAAATTTTTCTTATAGTTCTCAATCACCAAAGATATTACATAGGGGCCTGCATATATGGCATTAATTTTCTTTTTTCTAAATGAATCAGACATTTTACTCTTAAGTATGTGGATGGTGACATTGGGCCAGCTCTGCCAACAATGGTCAAATGCTTTCTTAATATTATAATGTTGTTCAGGGAACAGTTTGTTAAGAAACTAGTTCTCTAAGCAAGTGAAAAGTTGTCATAACTTTATGGTTGTCACTTCTAATTTATCATAAACAACTAATCAATATTCTTTCCTAAAATAAAAATTCAAAGATACTCAAACACAAATATTTATTGAGCTTTTTAAAAATATAAACATTTTCTGCTAGTAAAATCAAAAAAGTAAAAACAATGCAAGGATTCATGCAAGAAAAGAATAAAAATTAATTATAAAGCCAAGCACTGGTGGCTCATGACTGTAATCCTAGCCACTCAGGAGGCTGAGATCTGAGGGTCACAGTTCAAAGCCAGCCCAGACATGAAAGTCTATGAGACTCTTACCTCCAATAAACAACTCAGAAAACCAGAAGTGGCGCTGTGCTCCAGTGGTAGAGTGCTAGCCTTGAGCTGAAGAGCTAAGAGACAGCGCCCAGGCCCAGAGTTCAAGCCTCAGGACCAACAAAAACGAGTAAGTAAATAAATAAATAAAAATAATTATAATGACCATAATATTTGTTTTATGTGACAAATGAATATGTGCATTATTCAAGGTATTTCTTTCTTTTTTGGGGGGGAGGGGTCCGGTTATGGGGCCTGAGCTCTGGGCCTGGGTGCTGTCCCTCAGCTCTTCAGCTCAAGGCTAGCGCACTACCACTTAAGCCATAGCACCACTTCCGGCATTTTTTTTCTGCATATGTGGTGCTGAGGAATCGAACCCAGGGCCCCAGGCATGCAAGGCAAGTGCTCTACCACTGAGCCACCTTCCCAGCCCCTCAAAGTATTTCTACAAACACTAATTCCCCACTTTATAGATAAGAATACAAATTTTTTTTTTTTTGGGGGGGGGGTCCAGTCGTGGAGCCTGAACTCTGGGCCTGGGTGCTGTCCCTCAGCTCTTCAGCTTAAGGCTAGTGCTCTACCACTTGAGCCACAGCGCCACTTCCGGCTTTTTTTTTTTTGCTTATGTGGTGCTGAGGAATCGAACCCAGGGCCTCAGGCATGCAAGGCAAGCGCTCTACCACTGAGCCACCTTCCCAGCCTCAAGAATACAAATTTTGAAAAGTGTAATAGTTTTCCCAGAGTCTCTCTGATATTAACAACATGAAGAAAGTGGTATTGAAATCCAAGTAATCTGGTCCAAAAGCTCTAGTTCTGTTTTGTTTGTTTGTTTGCTGGCACTGGGGTTTGAACTAAGGTCCTGAGTATTGTCCCTTAGCTTCTTCATTCAAGACTGGTACTCTACCACTAGATCCATAGCTCCACCTCTGTTTTTTTGTTTGTTTGTTTGTTTTAAGGTTAATTGGAAATAAGAGTGTCTTAGATTTATCTGCCCTAGTTGGCTCAAATCATGACCCTCAGATTTCAGCCTCTGGAGTAGATAGGATAACAGGTGTGAGCTACCTGTTTGGGGTAAGCTCTAGCTCTTAACACTACTTTGTATTCTCAAATGAATGTAAACTGCCCAGAGGGAAAAAATGTTTAGTAAGGGTTGCCTGGCCAGGAATATTTTAGGAGGGATTTACATCAACTTAAATCTGTACATACTTAAGGAAGAACTGGAGGGGTGCATCCCTATTAGAGATCTGTGCCTCCAGAAGCCACTGTTGTCTTTTTCTTCTTTGAGTAACTTTAGGAGGCAGATCTCATGAAGGGAAAGGCATCCTAAATGAGAAGAGATGACATGTGGACCAATGACACCTAGTGGCTTCCAGAAGACCCCAAGTATGCTGGGCCCAGCTCTCTGCTGCCAGTGTACTCATGTTCCTCCTACCCCTGGGCTGAGCACAGTGATGTACTACAAAGCCAACAGAGCGCATAGAACCTGTGCTGCCCTTCATTTGGAATCCTCTACTTCTGCGTTCAGTCCTCATCTTCTGGAATCCTCTACTTCTGCTTCCAATCCTCACCTTCTACGTTTCATACTCATAACACAAAAAATATTTCTGTATTTTTGACATTGTCCATTGTTTTTTTTTTTTGTTTTTTTGTTTTGGTCATAGGGCCTTAACTCTGGGCCTGGGTGCTGTTCCTCAGCTCTTCAGCATTCTACCACTTTGAGCCATAGTGCCCCTTCTGGGTTTTTCTGCTTATGTGGTACTGAGGAATCAAACCCAGGGCCTCATGCATGCAAGGCAAGCTCTCTACCACTGAGCCACCTTCCCAGCCCTCCATTGCCTTTTAGAATGCCTGTTTTATAAGTGCCCACGTAATAGTTTGGGGCCAGGAAAAAAGACTCTCTCCTCCTACTAGCTGGTCTGTTTCCTTTCAGCAAACAATGAGAATTATATAACCCTTTGTTTCTCACATTTTTGTCTTGCCTTCCAGGAAGTACAAAGATAAATTTCATGCCTAATTAAGATAATCATGTTTGCCCAAGCATCTAGTACATTTACTTTCATCTCTTATTTTAATGGGTTCATTGAGCATGTCTTTTTATTACAAATAATTCCATAGCCTGTTTAAAAGTAGGAAAAACATAAATTATAAATATAATAAAGCTATCTCCTTAGTTCCCACATAAAACCTACTCTCTAATCCAGCAAATGGCTGAAATCCCAAGGGCCAACCCCATGTCCTCCTCTTATTATTTTTAATTAACAATCGTGTTCTATCTATTCAACCACCTAATGAGTATGTTGTGCATTCTTCCTGCTCCTTATAACCCTATTGCCTTGGTCTAGCAGTTTTTATTGCAAAAGCTTCATGTTAATCTCCCTGCCTTCATTCTCAACCCTCTCTCAACCTGCTTTCATTCATTCATTCATGTCTCTTCTGTACTGTTAAAAAGATTTTTCTAATACAAAACAGTGTATAACTGATGGATTGATATGTGAAGTCATTCATGTAACATATGGAACTCTATGATCTGGACAGTGCTACTATATTTACTCAGCCACGTTCCACCCATTTTTTTTCTCCCTGAAGACCCTCCCAAGATACCTGCTCATGTCAGAAAATGGCACCATTGTTTTACTCAACTATCTGGACCTCCAACCTTGGAATTATTCACTATTCCTCTTTTGGTCACATATTCCATCCAAATCATCAGCAACCCTCTCAGATCCACCTTGACAATGTATCCAAATGCAACTGCCTTGTAGCACCTCAAGTGGTATCACCTCTCCTAGGTCACTACTGTCTATCACGTGGACCACTGTAACAGGCTCCTATCTGGCTTCTCTGACCCCATCTGCACATCTTCTAAAATCTACTACTAGTTTAAAAAGAACCACCAGTTATCTTTTAAAATATAAATGAGATTATGTCACTGACCTGCACAAAATCTCTCACTAGACTCCTCCTTTTACATTTAGAACACATCCAAAGTTCCTGTCATTCATTGCCTGAAACACAGATACCTATTCTCACTTCTCTTGCCAGGAATGGCCCTTGACCACATAGGTAGGCCCCTCATTTGTTTGCAGTCTCTGTTCCAATATTCTTTTCTCAATAGAACTAACTCCTTCTAGGGCAATTGTTCTCAATTGGGAGCCATTTTGATTCATCTAGGGACATTAAATATGTCTGAAGATATTATGGTTTGTCACATGTGGGAAAGAGGATCCACTGGCATTTATCAGGTAGAAGCTAGGGATGCTGTTGATCATTACAATGTGCAATGCAACCCTTCACAGCAAAGAATTATTCCCCCCAAAATGTCATAGAGTCCAAGTTGAGAAAGTACCTCCACTCATCTGTAGCATCATAAACTTGAAGTCATGGTGATTTGTCTGCTAAAAAGTACAAGTGCACACCAAATTTTATTTCTACTTCCGCCATGGTAGGAAGTAGGCTAGCATACTTCTCAAGGGCAGAGGCCAGGCCTCACACCTCTCAGTGTCTCCCATCTCAATGGTTGATGTCACTACACTATTACTCAGACCAGTGAAAGAGTCCTCTGTTTCAGATTTGGTACTTGAGCCAAGGGAAGGCTCAATCAAGGCCTGTAATGTTCTAGGCATCCAGTGTCAAAGGCTAACATATAGTACAGATCTTTTACTCAAAATAACAGCAAAAATAATTCATTATTGTATCCAAAGCAATAAAATTGGAATAATCTCTTTGAAATACTATCCACATACCTGCTTGTTTAGCTTCAATACAGGCAATATTTATTTCTTCTTTCAAATCCCTGTTTTCATTGGCTATAGCTTCTCCTACTTTAACAAATCTTCCAACAGCCAAGTTGACCGCTTGTCCTACACGCTGAATTGCTTGCAGAGTTTTATCAGACTTTTTGGTATTATCTTTATGATTAATAAGTGTGGTAATCTAAAAATAAAAGATAAAAGCAACTTACTTAAATTTTACTTCAATATCCTTTTAAAAAGAAAAAAAAAGTTGTACCATAAAGAAAATTAAGCCGAGTACATTGGACTATCTCAAAAATGATAAATCAAGAATTTTGTATGTGTCATCTCAGAAAAACTAGTTAAGTATCTTGCTTCATTCTTCAGGACAATACTTTTAATTACAATTCCAACTTCACCTCAGGGCAGTCATCTGAGACATGGAGTTGCAGAGATGCTCCATACCTTCCAACAAATCTTAAAGATGTGAGAAAAGTAAGAAGGCAGATCATTACACTCATAGAACTCAAGGAAAACCAAAGTACTTAAACCCTCATAGAACTCAAGGAAAACCAAAGTACTTGAACTCTATTTTCCAATGCTTTTACTTGAGCTGCTGTGAGGGCAACTTTTTTCCACTGGATTCTACTCCATTGCCTCCCATGGCATGTGGGTTGTACAAAGTAGTACTTGGGTCATATATGTTTCCTGGATTAACAGCATGCTTGAGAATTACCAGTGTAAACTATGTTTTCTACATCCGCAAGCTTTACTGTGCCAACCTCAGAGGAAGTGGAGTACCAAGAGTTATTTGAGCACTTGGTTTTAGGCACTCAAATAAAACATAAAAGATGACAAATTTAGCTCATTGAAGCAAATATAAAAGAAAAACTAATCATAGAAAACTAGTACACAAACTGTATTAACATATAAAAATATTTATCGAAGAATGTTGTAGACAGGTATGGTGGTGCAAACCTGCAATCCCAATACTTAGGAGGCTGAGTAGCAGAATTATGAGTTCAAGGCCAGCCTGGGTCACCTAGTGAGACACTGCTCAAAAAAAAAAAAAAAAAAAAAAGCATTTGTTTTTATTCCAATTACAGAAAGTCCCCAAAAAGTTTTCAAGCAGGGTCTAACATAATTTCTGTAGTAATTTAAAACTATATTCATATTCCTTCTGTTTAGTGTGGGCTGGACTCATTTCCAGTATACAGACTAAAGTAAAAGTCCTGAAGTACTTCCTAGGATAGGTCTTAGAACACATCATGACTTCCTTCACATTTGCTCTCTCTCTGGGATCAATCACAGGGGCAAAAAGCCAGCTACCATGTCATAGAGGGCACTCAAGCAATACGAAGTAAGAAAGTGAGTCCTGTGGATAACAGATAATCAAGAGAGGAAGTCTCTTGCCAACAGCAGATGGCTTAACTTAGGATTAAAGTCTCTAACCCCAGTGAATTCTATGTACTACTTCATGACAGATCTGAATCCACAATTTCCAGGCAAACCACTCCAGAATCCTTGTCCCAGAAAACTATAAAATAACATTTGCTGATTGAGGACACTGAATTTGGGGTAACTGTTTCTATTTTAATAGGTAACTAATACAGACTTGGACACCTGGATCTGCAGTGATTCTGTAACAAAACCTAAAATAGGAAAAGTGGCTTGAAACCAGGCTTTGAAAGGTGTGTGGTCTTTGAGGAGTAAGTAAAAGCAATGGGAGTGTTGGAGAAACTTGATGACTTGGGGGAAGCTGTCTTGTCAGTTTTTACAGCCACAACAGAATACCTGAAACCGTGTAAAAGCAAGAGAAACATATTGCTTACAGTTTGGGAGGCTAGGAAGTATCAGATCTAGACTGGATTAAACTCAGTGTCTGGTAAATTCTGGATCTCCATTTGGCAGAAAAGAACAAACAGAATTTTCAGCCTCTTTTAACATTAGTATTTGTGATCTAATTACCTCCCCAAAGCCAAAGCTGCTAGTTAATATTACCATGGGAATAAGATTTTATGGATTGTGGAAAAACACCAATATTCTGAACACAGGATAAAATATGGGTTAAAAAAGCTTAAAAGAATGTGAGAAAAATATCACCAGAAACTGGAGGGAAAAAATGGTCCTAAGGCTGGAGGCAGGGCTTCATTGGTAGAGTGCTAGCCAATGAGCTAAAGTGGCAAGTACTGAGTTTGAATCCCAGTCTAAGATCTTTTTTTTTTTTTTGGGGGGGGGTGGTCCAGTCGTGGGACCTGAACTCTGGGCCTGGGCACTGTCCCTCAGCTCTTCAGCTCAAGGCTAGCACTCTACCACTTGAGCCACTTCCGGCTTTTTTCTTTTTGCTTATATGGTGCTGATGAATCGAACCCAGGGCCTCATGCATGCAAGGCAAGCACTCTACCACTGAGCCACCTTCCCAGCCCCCAAGTCTAAGATCTTAAAAAAAAAAAAAGTCCTTATTTTCTAGCTATAGAATATCATTTAGTACTATGAGAAGGAGAGAGAAAGTACACCTAATGAAGTGGGTGATCCAGCTAAGGAGAGTTAAAGGTTCCACCTGGTTTGTTCCTGCTGCTTACAGAAGAATGTCAGAATAGAGAGAAGTTAGGAGGACAAAACACTTAAATAAAAACAAACCAGAACTTGCTGTTTTGAAAATTCCTAACCCGATGGCACACCTGACAAAAAGAAAGAGTGGCTCCCAGGCAAAGATGAAATCCAGGGCACTATCAAGAAATCATGATCTGAAGTTGAAGCTAAGGGGGTGACCATAAAATCTTATGTGAGGATCTCAGAAAGATGGAAGGTGGAGCTCCAGACAACTATTCAGTTGAACAAGTTTCCTTAAGAAGCCTAGCGATGTCCTTCTGCAGTCCCAGCAGAAGCCCAAGTTAGGGAAAAGCCTGAAGACCTGTATGAATGGCTTTTGCCTAGTACACTGAGTTTGATACAACTCAAAGGAAATCAACAAAATGAAGACAATTGTGTTGGCAGAAAACTCACCAATTTGGGTTGGAAGCAATAGATGAAACAAAATGAAAGGGAGGTTTTTACTACACAGCTACAAACAAGGGCTCCATTTAATAAAAAAAAGGACAACTCAAGACTATTCCTAAGGGGGCCTGAGAATTATTCCCATGATAATTTTTAATCAAGAAACTGCCAACCTGTGCTCTGGTAGATTGCAAATGGGTATAAAACAGTGACTCATATTTTCCTATGTTTTTAACGTAAGTATATAGCAATTTATTCTGTATTTCCTATCCTCTCCACTTTTCTTTTAGTGGAAGTGTTATCTTACAGCTAAGGAAGAGTTACACTTAGGAAACAACTACATGGGAAAAAAGATCATCTACACTAGATTGAGGCCAGCATCCTGAATTTGGAGCTAATGTCAAGGCTTTAGGAGAGGCCATTGGGAAGGAGGTTAAACCATTTGTAACCAAAGACCGGATGGAGTATGGTAGATTTTGCTATTCTTCCCTTCAAGAAGCAGAGTGTCAGTCTCATTGGAGTCACTCACTTCCAACTAGATGAAGCAAAAGTGGCTGTGCTGTACTGAAGGAGAAGTCAGGAAGTCACTGTAGTAACTTATCTCTTATTCTCTAATATTCTCTGTAGAGGAAGCCAGCCGCAATATCATAAAGACATATGACCAACCCCTGGAAAGGCTTGTGTGAGGAGTAACTAAGACTCTGACCAATATCTAGCAAGATAATGAGACCTCCTACCAGCCGAAGGACTAGAATGTTCCAGAAACATTCCTAAATTTCTAATTAAAAGAACTTGAATGAAGCTGGGCATGGTGGCTCATGCTTGTAATCCTAGTTACTTAGGAGGCTAAGGTCAGGAGGTGTGTTCCTAGATTGAAATTCATACATTTGTCCACACTGCAAATTCATATATTGAAGTCCTACCCCCCAATGTGATGGCATTCGAGATCGGGGTATTTGGGCAGTGATTAGGTTGTAAGTGTGGAGCCTTCTTGAACAGGATTAGTGTGCCTATATTAAAAGTTCCCAAACAGATCCTTATCCCTTTTCCAACACAAGAGGACAGTAAGAAGACATCCAGCCGGGTGCTGGTGGCTCACACCTGTAATCCTAGCTACTCAGGAGGCTGAGATCTAAGGACTGCAGTTCAAAACCAGCCCAGGCAGGAAAGTCCGTGAGACTCTTAGTTCCAATAAACCACTCAGAAAACTGGAAGTGGTGCTGTGGCTCAAGTGGTAGAGCACTAGCCTTGAGCCGAAGAGCTGAGGGTCAGTGCTCAGTTCAAGCCCCACGACCGACCAAAAAAAAAAAAAAAAAAAAAAAGACATCCATCTCAGATCTGGAAAACAAGCCTCACAGGCACTTGAATGCATTGGCACCTTGATCTTAGATCTCCCAGCCTCCAGAACTATCTATGAGTAATACATTTCTGTTGTTTGTGGTGGTGAGGATTGAACTACCATGGGCTAGGCAACTGTTCTACCATGGTATTTTTGTTATAATAGATAGCACAGAGTAAGGCAGTGATGTTCATTAAATCCTTCACTTACACAATAGTTAAAATATTCATTCATAAAGAAAAGATCTCGGTGGACACCTGTGGCTCATGCCTATAACCCTAGCTACTCAGGAGGCTGAGATCTGAGGATCACAGTTCAAAGCTAGCCCAGGCAGGAAAGACCATGAAACTCTTATCTCCAATTAACCACCAGAAAACCAGAAGTGGCACTGTGGCTCAAGTGGTAGATCACTCTCTTTGAGCTGTAGAATTCAGGGACAGCATCCAGACCCAGAGTTCAAGACCCACAACCAACAACAACAACAACAAAAAGTTTGAAAAGATAAGAATTTGGGGATGAATGCAGTGGCTCATGCCAGTATCCCCGGCTATTTGGGAGGCAGAAGTAGGAGGATCATGTCTGATACCAATCCAGGGGGAAAAGTTATCAAGAACCTGTCTCAAAGAACAAACTAGTCATGGTGGCACACTTCTGTAATCCTAGCTGTGCAGAAGGGGTAGGCAGGAAGATTGTACTAGAAGGCCAGTCTGAGCAAGACTCTTATCTAAAAAATACTAAAGTGAAAGAGCATGGGAGCATGGTTCAAGCAGTAGAGCATTTGCCCAACAAAGTTGTCATTACTGACATAAAGAGAGAGAGAGAGAGGAGAGAGAAGGGAGGGAGGGAGGGAAGGAAGGAAGGAAGGA